TATCATTTTATTTTAAAAATATTATAAATGTAAATTTTCACTACCTTATTTTGGTTTTTCAAAGGGGAAAAATAATTTATAAGGGTATGTTTGGTATGTGTTCAGAAAAAAGAGGTTTTTATAGGCATGTGAGGAAGCATCCAGCTAGCTTGGGGTGGTCGTTTTCTAAATGTGTCTACTATACTAAATTTATGTAGGGGGGACTGGAGTTTTCCTCCCACTAAAGCGGGAAATTCACTACATGCCTTTAAAATAGTGTCAGTATGATTTTAACCCAAAAAATAAACGTAAATGTTCTTTTAATTTTATTGGTTAAACTTTAGAAACTATGGTATAGAATTAAATATATGGTTTTATAATAAATTTATAAAAAAGAAGCTTATAGTAGAAGCTTTAGTAAAATTATTTTTTTAGAATAAAAAAGGGTATATTTCCTATTTGTATGAATATTTCTGTTTTTAGGTGGAGTGAGTTTTGTCTGTGTGTATTTGAATTGTTACATTGGATATAATATCATGTACATGTATTAGATTTCTATCAGTCACAATAAATTATTTCTACTGTCAGATTGGTTGATGTTGTTGTTTTATTTGCCATTTTTAACAACCAGGGGTATCAAGTTGTTACATGTGAAGAAGCTGTCTTGCAGGAGGTAGGTTGCTGTACTTGGGGTATTATTTGAAGTTGTCATATCTGTGCTTTAAAAACCAGAGTAAATAAAATAGATGCCTTGAATGTTCACCAGGAACATATAATACATACTTTGAAGTTTGCTGGGAATTGGGTATATGAAATATAAATATATCTGACTTAAGCATTAAAATATATACAGTAGAAAATCTGCTTTTAAAATTATAGTGCTAACTTTTAATAAAATATTTTTTTCTCTCTGAATATTGTACTGTAGTACAACTTCACCAAAGATGGCCAAACATGTGAAGATCTATGAAAAGAGTTTTAAAAAAAATGAAGAAGTACTGTAAAATACTCTACAGTTAATTTCAATGTTCAATTTATAAACTGGTAGCTATTTTCTAATGAATAAGAAGCAGTAAGCACTCACCATAATCTATTTATCTTATCCCTAGATTTTAAAGGGGAATTAATTTTTTTTAAAAAAGGGGGAAAAAATCTAGTACTGATAAGTATAAGGAGTTTTAATGTTTTCAGTTGAACCCCCAAAAAATTTTTTTTTTTTAAATCAAAAAAAGGAAAAAAAAAAACAAAAAAAAAATTTAGAAAAAAAAAGTATTTTTACTGCAAAAACAAAATAAAATAATTTGTCCCATCTTAAATTGAAAAGAAAACAGTGAAGAAAGATCTATTTAACTTTGTTTGAAAAAAAAATGCATTGAAATCGTTAAATAAAAAGATAATTTGTATATCATGTATTCAAATTCAAGCTTCAGCATCCCCCAATAAAAATTTCAGTTTAGCTACCATTAGCGTTTTGACAGGTGCGCGTCATCACGTGACCTGCGTTTCCCTGAGTGACAGGTGTAAATCGAGTTTGTTACTCCAATATGGCGGATCACTGGCGGCAAGAATAAACAAGTCTTTCTAGTGATAAGAAAATTGTTGAATAAAGCAAAAGTGTGCTGGATTTGTTTACAAAAGATAAGGGTTCTTTCGTTTATAAAAAGGTAAGATCTTCTTATCAACGAACTCCAAGTTCTTGATAGTGAATTTGGTAACTGAAAGTTTACCAGTGTTTATTTCTAAGTGTTGTTTGACAGTTACTGCACGTGCAGAAAATGAAAGTAGGAATATGTCAATGTTGCGATAGAAATGGAATGTAATAGTTGTGTTGTAAATAACAATATGTCAGGTATGTGTTATCGTTATAACAGTAAATAAAGCAATATTTTATGCCCCAATTTAACCAACTTTCCGTTTTTTTTAATTTAAAATATTAGGAGAGTGGGAAAAAAAGAATCAACAAGACAAAAACCCTAATTCTGTGGGTTTTTAACACCAATTTTTGAAAAAAAACATTTAAGTTTTTAAATGGTCAACTGGATATTTAAGGCATGAGGGAATTTTTTTGGGGAAAAATAGCATCTTTATACCAAAAAATTTTAAAAAAAAAAGAGTATCAATTTCAGTTTGCCTTTTTCAAACTTTCCCTATCCAAAAAATTAGCTTAAAAAAAAATTTGAAAGGGATTTGTTGGGCCGGTTTTTTCAAAAAAAATTTTTATGTTTAAAAATTACAAAAGGGTTTTTGTCCTAAAAATAAATAAAAAATTTTTTCAAGGGAATTTACTTTATTATGAATTTTTTAATCTGTTAAATAAAAATGCTTTTTAAATAATTTTTTAAATTAATTAATAAATAAATTTAAGAAGATATTTATAACTAATCAAATTTATTTTAGTATACTGTGTCTACAGAATGTTTAAAGATACAGATTTCAATTGACATATGCATTCTGCTGTATAAGATTATGTAAAATCTTCGTAGATTTAAATCCTTGATTGAACTTTAACAATGTAATCACTAAGCATATCATTCTGTCCCTATTTCAAAACAATGACATGGCTTGAAGATATTATGAATCATAGAGTCAGTGGGCATAAATATATACTGAGATAAGACAACGATATATGTCTGTATTTAAGGGTGTTTTATGACATGTCAATAGGTGATTTTCTCAATGATGTTCAATGTAAAGTAAATATATGAAAGGGCTTCTCGAAGATAATCTGTCATCTGTCAATGAATGATTGAGTCCGTCAAGTACATTTTTATGAGTTAGTAATACTGAATATGAGGAGAAATGTGTCTCACTCTGATAACAAGAATACTACTGTAACTTCAGTTTATATTTTAAAATTTTTGATTTTTTTCTTAAAAACCCTTTATTGGAAATTTTAAAAAAGTTTGGGGAAGTGCTCATGATTATTTAGAACATTTCTCATTTTGGGACAATTTCCCGTTTCACAAACCCCCAAAAAAGCTAGATTAAATATAGTTTAATTTGGCCAATTTTAAAATTTAATTTTTTTTATGTCAAAAAGACAGCGCGCCGTCCAAAATTTTTTTTTATATCTCTGTGTCTCTTTTGACAAGTCTAATTAGTTGGACATAATGAATACCCCCCCCCCCCCCCCCCCCACCCCCCCCCCCCCCGCCCCCCCCCCCCCCCCCCCTAGCTCTAAAAAGCTAACAAGCTTACATTACAATCAAGCTGAAATAAATTTAAATATATATAAACTATAAGTTCTCTAAATGTGATTTAAATTATTTTATTGTAAAGGTTTTGAATTAAAGGCAAGTAGCATATGAATAGGCTATATCATGAATAGAAAAAAAAAATATAAAATTATATAAATATCTTAAACATATTTATTTAGTTAACCCAGAAGATCATGTTAAAATTATGGGGCAAAAAAAAAAATCTAAAATTTTCACCTGCTACCATTTTAAATCATAATGCAATTATTCATTAATGCAATTTCTGTCTCTTATCCTCATTTCAATACAATCTTTGACTGTGTATTTTACCAATATATATATAGTCTTATGAAAAACTATTTAATTTTTAACAGAAATGTGGACAAAGGTCAACAAGGCAATGCAACATTTCACAAAATGTAGGCCCTCTCAACAAAATTCATTTTTTTATTTTTTTGCAACATCTGCTTTTTTTTCCTGCATATGTTTGACTTATATTCTAGATCTAGATCTAAATTTCTTCTATGGTTAAAGCAATCAGAAGCCTATGTAAATATAATTTGTACTGTCAATATACATTGTAAGTGCCAGCAACTTATTGTATATACTGTTTACATTTGATATGACAAAATGGTGTACGAATACTTTCAGTTTAATCCATGTTTGAAAGGGTCCAATAAATTGATATCTATACTAAATTTTTAAATTTATTGCAGCCATTGTAGTATTGTATAAATCACAGAGCTATTTTAACACTGCTTATTATCGTATTTATAGCAAGTTTAACTTCCAAATTGAATCAAAATCACCTGCATTGTTAATTTTGTTAAGACATATAATCAAGTATTTTATATCTTTTAAAAAGGTTATTTTAAACTGTTAAATGGGATTTTCCTTTTTTATAGGAAACAGGGTTTGTTATTATTTAAGTATATAATTTGAATTTTTGGGGTTTTAAAAATTAATGTAAGTAAACAACATAAACAAAAACCCTTTTAATTATTTAAAACGCTTTAAAAAAACTCCACGAGTCCAAAAACATAAATTTGAAAAAAGAAAAAAATTAGTGAAACATTAAAAGGAAAAAATTCAAAGAAAAAAAAAAACCAAAAAAATATATTAGTTTAATGAAAATTTTTTTTTTACCTTAGCTTTTTTTTGGTCATTTTTGGGTTTAAAGGGAAACCCTTTGAAAAATTAAAATAGATACAGGGGTATGTAAAAAGTCCTGAATTATAAAATTTTACTCATGCAAAATTTTAAAGAATTTAAATCTAAATCTCTAAAACAAGGTATTTTTTTTGTGTTAATACATTGACAGGCTTTTAAACTATTTAAGAAGTGAAGAGATTTTAGTGTCATTATATTGCAGTGTCAGGGATAAACTTGAAATAAGTATATATTTATAACAACAGTCTTTTGTGTTGCACCCACCAACAACTGGCAGGGAATGTTTCTGTCACAGACATATTTAATGAACTTGGATCATTTCATACTGTTAGCTTATGAGCTAGTTTCTCCCTGAAAGTGATTAATTTAGTAAAAGTGACATTATGCTCATGTTTTCATTGTCAAGTTCAGTGGAATTGACTACCGGTATATATTTCAAAAGATTGACTTAAAATGATGGTGTTTGACCAACAGTTAATATTGGAATATGTTTAGAATGAAATATAAATCTGCTGAAAATATTAAAAAACTACCCCACTCTTTTTATAAATAATTTTATTGAACAATATAGGTAAATTTCAATGAATATTTAGAGAAATTTCCTTGGGCCATATGTGTTATTTTTCGCTAATGCTAAGTACATTATAAAATTGAAAGGAATTTATAATGGCAAAATGAGAGCGTATTTTTGATTTTCTACTGGTCACTCTCTATATGCCCTCTAATGTCACTGATGGACTTGTCCAGAGCATCCGGTCTTGGAACTGTACATAATCAATATGGGGATATCTAAATTTGATAAAAACCGAATTAAAGTATTAGTAAATCGGTCAACAATGTATATTTATATTACAGACCAGTCTGCCAGCAGCTTTACTTGGTACTGTTGGTTATTTTGTTATTAAAATCACTGAGACTATAAATGAACTGCTGAAATATTATTCATTATAAAACCTATAAGTAAAGCAATATAGGAGAAACTTGCTGCAAAACTTTATAAATTCTACATTCCAGTTTGTATTAATGGTAAAGCCATATCTAGAAATTCTTTATTTCTTCCCACATAAGAGAGAACAATTCATTAATAATTTAAATGTTTATGTTTCTCAACGCTCATCTAGCCTGGAAACAAAGTAAAAGTATGGAAAAATCAGATAATAAAATATTTCCTTAACAGGTCCCAGAGGCTTGTTCTATAGAGAGAATGTTTTTAGTGTAAATTATTATTTTCTTAAAGAGCCAAATTCTTACACTGATATATAAATATTACATAATAATATTATTATTACCAGTGAAAAAAAAAATAAGTGTAGAATAAACAGAATTACAGACACTTTTCAATTTTTTAAGTCAGGACTGTTTTAACAAAGGCCAGGGGTGGATTGAATGTAATAAAAAGTTCATATAAAAGTTATGTAATTAAACATACAAATTTTTGATTTTTAATTTTTAGACATACCATTTGGCACAGATCTTTTACTGATCCTTTTTTTTTTCATTGTTACAATGAAGTTGTCCAGCTTCTATTTTTTTGACTGCCTATGAACTATGGTGGGGTGAAAATAAACAGTAAATATATAGACAGTTAAGAAATGAAAGCTGTACTAGACTTAAGTCCATTTATTTTTTACAGTAGGTTACAGCTTTTAAAAGTTATTTTGTTTAATGTTATTGACATATCTGCTAGATTCCTCATGGAAACCAATTTTAAGACATCTTGCTTCTTTCTAAAGATTTTCTGGATTAGAAAGGGCACCAATTGTATGATCATGTAACTTCATGCAACTTCATTAAAGATAACATTTCTATCATCAAATATGTGAAAAGGTTATAGGGATAGGAAACAGATTATATTGAGGATAATGATTCTGAAATTCTAGTTACAGATATCATGTGAATTGTCTTTACAGATTGATCTAGCCTTTGTTTTATTCACTGTTTGTTTCCATACGTCTTCCTTTAATTACCATGTAGGCTTTAATTATTCATGGCATGTGTGTATTAATCAGTTGGTATTGTTAAACCAATAACCATTTTCATGGATTGAAGAGTTTTAGTACCTGTAAAAAAATGTACAAATTCATAATTACACCAGAAAATACGTGCAGATCTAAATCATGACAAACTTCTTGATGTTTTTTTAAATTAATCAATTACATGCCAATACATGTATCTTCATATATACATACATGTCAGTCCAAAATCTAAATAAAAGCTCAAAGGCTGCTTTGTGAATTATTGGAAACTTTGTAACTGACCATTAGCAAAGGAATAATTTATTGACTGTAAAGATTACATCAGTAAATGTGCCTCCTTTGTTTTACACCTGGTCTTCCAAAAAAATTGTGAATATTTTTATTCAAAGATTTATTTTATTTTAAGTGCATTTGCTTAAGAATACTTGTAAACTTTTAAGTGTCTGTGTGAAAATAACTTAAAATACATGTATAATGTAACTTAACAATTATTATCAATTTTTTAAGCCATATATAATCTTAACCTAAATTGTAAGACTGTTTGTAGAATATTTAGGTTTTACTGTCTTCACTGTCAGGAATGATTGATTGAGAATAATTATAGGCTATTGTAAAATTCCTCACAATTTATAACTCCAACATAATATACATGTATTTTATGCATTTTACATTTACACAATAAGGGAGATAATAGATTTCAAAGGGAGGTAATCCTGAAAATATTTGATAATTATGTTTCCACCAACGTATACTAATCAATTAAATCTTTTCCAATTTGCTTAAAATGGACATACCCGTACATAAAATTAAAAAGTGATACATTTCATTTTAAAGATTTCATAGTAGCTTTCCTCAAATCTCAAATCTGTTTTCAGCTTTGAATATTTAAATTTCAAAGATTTTGTAAGATCAATAAAAGAATTAAAAGTGGCAAATCTCATATATAGACATGTCCATTATTTCTGGTATTTAATGGACAAATTTTCTTTTAAGATAACATTTTATATACCTTAAACACTGTTAAATTTTTTATCTCACTTTCTATAGAAACTGTGCTGTGCTTAAAAACTTTTAAATTAAATACTAGGATGTTGCTGCATTAGGTTTTACATTAACTGTTTAAACTGAAATGAAGCATTTTAATTTTATTTTGACATGGAATTTTGAAAAAAAAATTAGCACATTAGTATATTTTTTTTAAACTCCTGTGGAAAGAATTTTTATAAACTGTAAAATGTAGAGGTGTTTGTCTATTCAGTATTCAGATCAATAAGGTAAATGTTTGAACAGATCAGGGTGATTTCTCGGTGACCGTATAATTTCTCTCTACAGACTAGATTTGTGTTGGACGAACAAATATTTGGGCGAGTTTTATATCCATACCAATAGTAAATAGAAACATAACAGTTTTACTGATTTATGCATAAGGTGCGTTATTCTGGAATATAAAAAAAAAGTTTAATGTGGATGTCTGAGATAAAAATTTGTTCTGCATTTGCCTGTTTATGGTCATGCAATAACACTTGCTAGAACACTTTATTTGGAATGGTACATGTCTCAGATTGTTATTTTGGTTTAAATGTCATGGTAAACTCAAGAGTGAAGGCGCATAGTGGTAAAGGTGTCTGACTTTCAACTTTGGAATTGTGGGTTTGAGTCCTTAGTAACTTTGGTAAAAACCATTTTTTCCTCATATGGCATCAGTACTACAGTGAGTGAGGTTTAATAATTGAAAAGGCAAACTCGCAAGTAATCCCTTGGGGGTTGCTCAGTGTTACTCAGGTGCTTTACTTACACTTGTAATGTCTTGTGTGAATGTCACTTTTGATGGGGAATTTATTTTATTGATCTCAGTCTGTTCTAACCCTGATGACCTTTGTGTACTCATGTTTTTAAGATTACCCTGACCCAAAGAGTGAAATTATTGTTAATTATGCTAAATATAGCAATTTGTTGGGCAGACTTATGTAATAAATCAATATATGAACATTGAAGATAGAATATGATCTATGACCGTGTGTAATTAGGGTACGAATATCAAATTATTGCAATATTGTTGTCATCACAGGCGTTAACAAATCAATAAAGTCTAAAGAACATGTACCATGTAAGTACCGTAATAACACAAATGACAAAATGTATTGTCCATTCAAGGACTAATAATTGCAAAAACCTTTACAATAATACATGTATAATATTGACAATTTGACAGTTGTATAAGCACTGCAATCATTATAACTACAATATAATAATACAGTATTAGATAAAATTCCTGTTGAGATCCTGATTAATTTTGTACATTCAACCTTTGGAGTTACTGCTTGCAGCAATAATGACTACTAATATAGAGCTAATTGTTAGCCTGCATGCAGATCTAAATTGAAAATTGACCATATAATAACACTATTCTCAATTTTATTTGTACATTTTTACACAGAAATCACTCAAAGGGTATTTTAAGCCATTGCCAATAGTATATAGCCAGGCCATTACCTGCACATCCATGCATCTGAACCTGACGCTATATTGTTGGTAGATCTATTTTGGTATTTTTATATAGAAATCACTTAATAATTATACAATCTGGGAAGGTACAATTCTAGGCAAGCTGAATGTTTCATTAGATAAATTCAGCTTGATATAAAAACTAGGGTTACATATAATTGATTCTGCATATCAAACTAAAAAGTACTCCAGAATTTGTTTATAGAATTTCTTTGATACATTTAAGAATAAATCAGTATTCTACCCAAAAAGAAAAAGATGTTTAAGAAAACCAAAAAGAAAAAGGCCATGAATTTTAGATTAAATATACAGGTAGTTGATTTTTAGCTTACCTGAGTCCAGGTATGATCATTTATGTTAAATTATAGGAAAAATTCAGCAGTTTATTATAATACACTATACTATATATAGTAGACATAAATCTATTGTGACATAAGTATAACCAGGTAATAGCTGACTATAATAATAACTTTATAAATAAACTCCTCCATGTATTATGTAAGGTAAAGATTAAAGTTTAACATGATCAAATAGTTTAAAGCCTATTGCATATAAATTTTTTTGGATTAACTAATACAGTTGCCAACACAAACTCTAACACCTACAATAGTGTTTGACCTTGACTTACACACAAAGACAGATTACAATAATTGCCGTCTGATCATGGTCTGCAATGTTTGCTAGTCAAAGGGTATATATTAAAATAACAGCATACAAAATGAATGGGTGATATTGTATTTAAAATATATCTTTAGAGTGTTACAAGTTTGTAATGTAAATATATTGTATTGATTAATATTTTGTATCATTTTGTATGATTATAATTACAATGCAAGTCAAAATGAAATTATGTTCTGTTCTGTTCTGTACATTATAAAATTTAAAAATTTTCATTACAATAATGAATGGTTATGTCCAGATTGATTCAAGATGGACAAGTCCCATTTAAGATATTTAATGTTACAATCAACTTCAGTGGAATTTCCTGTTCTGATTTGAAATTTGTTTATACAAATGATGATAGTTATGTACATATTAAATTATTCAAAAAATGATATGGTACTATGTTTCTATAATTACTATAACAAATTCTGTTAAATGAGGTGTGAATGATTATTTGTTGTTTTTTTAAGTAACAAATTAAGTGAACATTCTTTTAACTACTGTGCTCTTTTAGGATGAAAATAAAACAACAACAACAGTTATGTACAGTAAAATCTGTGTTAAAACCACCTGAATAATTTTAGATCACCCTGTGAATATATTATAAGACAATATTTGTCAACTGTCCATTGATTTAATAGAAAGAGTAGTCCCCAATAAAAGACCACCTGTCTATAACAGCCATGTGTGGTCTGTCCTTTAGATGTTTATAATTTTGAAGTTGTAAATATATAAAGGGTCCACACAAAATTGAAAATCAGTGCTTTAGCTGATGACCTAATATTAAGTGAAGCACATTTAAATGTATATACTAAGCATAATTATTATAATTATAAACAACATTCTTCAAGATTATAATCTTCAACAAAAAAATTAAAAAAACTTATGAAATTATGTTTAATTTTTAAGCATTGTATATAATATATCTTGTAGTCCAGTTAAAACTTTGACAATATGACATTATTTATGATATTTACTGCCTAAAGTCTGTGCCATTACTAATTGAGTAAAAGAAATTTCTGCAGATTTTTAGAAACAACAGGAAGTTAGTGCTGACAACATGGATACTGACGTTATTTAATTTACACAAATTTTTTTTGGCATGCTATTTTAAAGGCTTTTAAAAATCTGTGTCAGGGACTTCAAACATTTCACAAACTTAATAATTGACATTAAATATTTTATTTTGTTTTACAGAGAAAAGTGTTCAAGCAGAGATAATGGGGGCCGGTGCCTCCCGTGAAGGGGAGGAGTTAGTAGATGATCGTTATGTGACGCAGTCTCAGACTGGTCCCGTATCCGGGCCTCACTCGCCCCGTCAGAGATCAGAACAGCGTCAGATCAGCTCAAGAACCAGTATGAAACAGTCATCTAGAACTAGCATGTCAAGAAATGTTGGTAAGTATTTTGTCATGTACTTCTGAAGAAGATTGACTGTCAATCATTTACTCTTAAATTTATCGTTATATAACCAAAATTGTAATATAACCACAATTGTTATATACAATTGTTATACATGTATAACTACAATTGTTATATAACCACAATTGTTATATAACCACAAAAATAATTTAACTTGTGCATATTTTTATGGATTCAGAATGACACAGAATTATGCGTGGAAAATATTATTACTCAGTCAAGTATTGATTAAATTATGGGTTTTTTTGCTTATTTCCTGCCAAATATATCAAATGTTTTCAATGTTTTCTCGCCATATGTTGGTAATTTCCGTTCAAGCAAGTAAAATGTAAAGTGTTTAAATTTATTGGATCATTAATATTGAATAACAATAACCATTATTGATGCTTGGTTAAGATGAGAATGCTTGCTTATAAATGAATCAACAATATAAAATATACGAGTCTCAGCCATTATAAAGTTTTTGTTTTCCTGGCAGTATTGTCAAAGGAAGGTTATAAATCTTCAAGAGAAGACAACTTCTGTTTTCCCTGTATACCGAGCAGTAAGTTTATGAAACAAAGGCTGGAATTTGACGGGTTTTGTGTTTTGTTAACTTTTTCTCTACTATTATTAATGGTCAAGGCAATGATGGATGAATAAATGTTATCCAGAACTCGGCAAATGTTTTGGTCCAGGGCTAATATAACAAACTTTTACTCTTATAGCTAATCACAGTGCACTACCTTTCACAATAGAATGTTCAATGCGTTGTGCTTATTATCTATAAATTTTGCAAGTTATAATTTCAAAAGTTTGTTTGTGCCCAGAGATTTGTGGGAAAACCCACATTTTCTGAGTCCAGAGGTTACCTCTATATCAATAACTTTAATGCAATTTTTGTATATTAAGAAATGTTCCTCTTTGAATATATTATAGCTAAATATTTGCATCATTTTAACTTTTCTTTAAACAAAACACGAGAACATATTAAGATAAATAAATATTTTTTTTTTATCCATTTACATTTATAAAGGTATATAATAACTTTTTCTTACCATATTTACTTCCAGTTTTCCATATACAATGACATTATTATACAAAATATCCAGTTGTGCCACATGGTGATTAATGCCAAGCCAAATTTTTGTACCCATATGTCAGAATTCAAGTACAATAAAAAGACTTAATTTATATAAGACATATGAATATTTGATAGTATATCGAATTTAAAGCACAAAACCCTAATCAAAATTGCATTAGAGTCTTCTTTAGATGATGTTCTTTATCACTAATTGCTCTATTAATTAATTATTAATAGGGGTGTGTGAACTGGCGTTACTAGATTTAGACTTCATACATACGGTTAACTTAATAATCTGAAATCAATGTTATTTTTTGGTTGCCATGCACTAATGATATAAAAGTCATTTAGGATTTATTTGATGTTACAGTAAGCAGGGCTGAAAGAACTGATTTATTTTCTGTTCTTTAAAAATTATCTAAAACATACACAGTTTGTGAAATGCTGCAGTTTTGAAAATACTTATTTGATTCTGGGAATGGATTTTATGAAGATGTTTGAGTTTTAGTGGTAGTTTTGAGTTAGTTTTTGAAGTGTTTAATGATGGAAATTAACGTTGAACCAAATAGTACAGAGAGATTGAAGATAAACCTGAGAGGCAGTGATAAAACCAAAACTGTTAAAGCATGGGTACAGTTAAAAAAGAAAATAGGTACCTGATTAATAGTATTATTGATTATTATACATACATTTGTAAATATATGAATATTTATCATAAACAAATATCTATTATGATAAGTATTTTTTAGCTCACCTGTCACAAAGTGACAGGGTGAGCTTTTGTGATCGCTTTTCGTCCGGCGTCCGGCGTCCGTCCGTCGTCCGTAAACTTTTACTTTAAATGACATCTTCTCATAAACCACAAGGCCAATTTCATCCAAACTTCACAGGAATGTTCCTTTGGTGGTCACCTTTAAAAATTGTTCAAAGAATTTAATTCCATGCAGAACTCTGGTTGCCATGGCAACCGAAAGAAAAAACTTTAAATATCTTCTTTTAAAAAACCATAAGAGCTGGAGCTTAGATATTTGGCATGAAACATCTTCTAGTGAGTGTCTACCAAGTTTGTTCAAATAAAAGCCCTGGGGTCAAAATTGGCCCCGCCCCGGGGGGTCATTGATTTTCCCTATATGCATATAGTGAAAACTTAAAAAATCTTCTTTTAAAGAACTCAAAGAGCTATGGCTAAGATATTGAGCATCAAACATGTTCTAATAGGTGTCTATCAAGTTTGTTCAAAGAAAAGCCCTGGGGTCAAAATTGGCCCCGCCCCAGGGGGTCATTGATTTTCCCTATATGCATATAGTAAAAACTTAAAAAATCTTCTTTTAAAGAACCAAAAGAGTTAGAGCTAAGATATTTAGCATGAAACATGTTCTAATATGTGTCTACCAAGTTTGTTCAAATAAAAGCCCTTGGGTCAAAATTGACCCCGCCCGGGGGGGTCATTGATTTTTCCCTATATATGCATATAGTAAAAACTTAAAAATCTTCTTTTAAAGAACTCAAAGAGCTATGGTTAAGATATTTAGCATCAAACATGTTCTAATAGGTGTCTACCAAGTTTGTTCAAATAAAAGCCCTGGGGTCAAAATTGGCCCCGCCCCGGGGGTCATAGATTTTCCTTATATGTGTATAGCAAAAACTTAAAAAATCTTTTTTGAAAAAACCCAAATAGCTAGAGTTAAGATATTAAGCATGAAACATCTTTTAGTGAGTGTCTACAAAGTTTGTTCAAATAAAAGACTTGGGGTCAAAATTGGCCCTGCCCCGGGGTCATTGATTTTCCTTATATGTGTATAGCAAAAACTTAAAATCTTCTTTGAAAAAACCCAAATAGCTAGAGTTTAGATATTAAGCATGAAACATATTCTAGTAAGTGTCTACAAAGTTTGTTCAAATAAAAACCCTGGGGTCATAACTGGCCCGGCCCCAGGCGTGTCATTGTTTTTAACTATATGTGTATAGTAAAAACTTTAAAAAAAATCTTCTTTTAAATAGCCCAATGAGCTAGAGCTTAGATGTTTAGCATGAAACATTTTCTTATGGGTGTCTACCAAGTTTGTGCAAATAAAAGCCCTTTGGTTAAATTGGCCCTGCAATGTTTTGGGGGGGGGGGGGGGTTGGGGCGACCTATATACAGGTGAGCGACCTCAGGGCCATCATGGCCCTCTTGTTTAAATGAATTACACGTAATTTATAAATAAATAAATTGAATAAATTAAATAAATAAATAAAAAAAATAAATAAATAAAAAATTGAGTTTGAAAAACATTATTTAAAAATTCACATACAAGTAGATAAGAATGTAGGTGCTGAGTGGTTAAGGTTGTTGACTTCAAGCCATTTGCCTCTCACTGCTGTATGTTCGATTAGTGCAAGCATCTTTCAGATTCTTTCATGTTAGATCTAGAGAGCTATCCAAGTGCTAGCTTACAGAATTTCTGCAGTTTTTTTACTCAGGTGCCCATTTGTGGCTGGAATAATGTGCAGAGGTTCACCTGACTGGTCTTCAGCCATCACTAAAACTGAATAGTTGCCATATGACATATACTGTGTTGGTGAAACATTAAACCCAAAAGACAAAAACATAGATTTGGATGCTTATAAACATCTAAGTACATATTATTCTTATGGCTTTCTATAAATGCTTCACATACAAATGTATTAATTTTATACACCATGATACAGCACTGGCTTATGGTGACTTTCCTCTATAAAACAAAAAAAATCTACATTTTCCTGGTAACAGCTGAAAGTTTCTGAATAATTTGTATAAATTTTTATGTGATGAAAGTTATGGATTTTACTTTTTTAAAAACTTTTTACACATTTCTGTCTATTTGCATACTTTCTGAGTAGAGGGCACAAGTCATTTTGTTCAGAAGCACTTGCAGTGCATTGATACTGTAGTTTTGCTATGTAACAATGTTCTCATGTATTTATATTGAGCTATTAAATGTAAGTTACATGTATATAAATTGTCGTCATCTGTGATAATTTGAAGGGATGTTTGTATAATTATATTATTATCAATTTCTTTCAGGATTTATAATTTTATTATCACTGAATTATATGTAAATTAATATCTTTTAATGCTAAATTGAAACTTAGGATTCTAATATGCAACTAAATTGTAACTTGTGTGGCCAAACAGGCAACCAATTTGATACGGTTAGCCTAAGCATTCAATGGTGGTTAAAAATATATTGCAACCTTGGTGGCTAAAAAGTCAACTAAATTAAATTGCAACCTTGGTAGCTAAAAAGACAAAACACAACTGAGTTGCAACAAAGGTGGAAAAAAATTAAATTTAAACCTGCTAAAAACATGAAAAAGGGCAAGACATAGGTGGCTAAAAAGGCCAGAAAATTTAAATTTCCACCTTAATTTCAACCTAAGTAATGGCTGAAAATTGCAACCTAGGTACAGATGTAGCTAGACCAGCATTAGAAGTGCGGCTTAAGTGGGTAAAAGGACAAGCAACTTAATTGCAACCAACTGGTGTTTAAATGGGCAACTAAATTACAACGTAGGTGGCTAAACAGGCATCAATAAAAAGAAATTCTGTATCATATAATAAGATTTTATTCACTTGGCTTGAACTTTACTTACCTTTTTACATATCATATTTTTACTATTCATAAATAATTCTTTTTGTTACAGAGGGAATGGAGGAGCCAATTATTGGAGTAACAAAGAATGGATTTACAGTGGCAGATCTAGCTATTATGGAAGGACAGTCTGTCATATTCATCTGGCAAGATAATTCTGAGCCTGTGGATATTGTGCAGGTAATTTGATATACAATGGGCATTATGTAATTTCTTGGGGGAAAATCTGTCATAAATAACAACTGTGTGGTAACATTTATTCTGAACAATTGTCTCACCTATTTTGTGTTAACCCTTATACTTTTATACATTGATATAATGGAATTCTCCAGCTATGAATTCGCAAAATTCTATGATTTTAAGCGTGAAAAATTTCAACTCTTACCATGCTAGATATCTTTCATGGACATATCCATCTTTCAATATGGACAAAACCATTTATCATTTTTAGGGAAATTTTCAAAATATGTATTGACTGAATAGGGAACTGAGTGCAGACAATGATTAGACAAGCGAAAGTTTATTGTGATATGATATTAATAAACTAATGTTTAAATTCAGCTGACAATAGTGTAGTCTTCTAGATTTTTGTAGACTTGCTTGTCATATTGGGAAGTTATTATGCTCATTACCATTCAAGGCATTAAATCTGTTTTTAAAAGGCGGTGATTATTTTTGCAGTAGTGAGATAGGGATTTACCCAATTGGCAAAAATTCCCATACCAGTTTTGAAAATTCCCCCAAAATTGTGAAGATTTCCCTGTACCAGTTCAGCCATTTAAGCAAATATATCTTGTTTTTTCTTAACTCTGTATTTTAATTAAAACAAAAAAAAGTTGAATAAAATGATTCAAATTTCTTATGGTTTTTACCATGTTAATGTTTCCCAATTTGAGACATGTTCCGTATAGCTAAAAAGGTGTAGAAAATCATTGACAGACATTGGTAAAAACCTGTCATAAATTATTTACATGAAATACTTATTCTGGACTTCACAGACATAAGTTACATTGTTGTTAGCCATTGATTAAACGAAGATGTGTTAAACGACCTTGACCCTTGAGAACAAGGAATATAGAATTAGAACTTTTAGGCATCATAATATAGAAAACATAATCTTTCATCCACTACCTCTCTAGTAATAGCCAGTTGTAGTCCAATTTGAGTAAAAGCCAAAACGTAATAAATCTTTTAACAAAGACTATAAATTTTGTGAATTATAATGGAATTGACCATTATATACATACACTTAGAATATAATTATATGATTATAAGTATAGAAGAAAAATAATTACTTTACATTTACTCTTTTTAAAGAGATATTTAAGTCAAATTTAAATCAATGATTTTAACTGTTTTTATGAATTTAAACAGTAATTTTTCTCTTTACATTTTATTGTTAAATAGGAAAATGTAATTCTTTTTAAAGTCTTTTTGATTTATGCTGTTTCAAATGTAGGGGTATTTTTTATTTTATGTTCTGTATATATTTGTTATGACTAATAGGTCCAGTAATATTTTTAACTGCATTTATTTTCTGATATTGATCAAAAAGTTTATCAGATAAATGCATTATAAGATAGATCAAAGACCGTTGTATGTGTGTTTGTGTCTGTGTATTTTGTTTGTTTATAAGTAACTGGCACAGTTAATTAAGGTATATAATAAACTGTATTACAACAGAATCAAACATACCTGGTGGTTACCATGTGGAGGAATATCTTATGTAAATAATTAATGATATTGATCGGGCTAGAGTACACCATTTCTATAATAGCATACCTGGTATATCATTCCTTAAACAGTAGTTTGTTTACTTTAAACAGTCTTATCTATAGGAACTGTAAACGTAAACTTTATAACCTTCCAGTTTATATATCCTTTCCTATTTCAATATATATACATGCATACTCTAGTATGTATATTAAAACATGATCAATGCTCGCTGTGCAGTGTTGAAACAAAAAAAAAATATTGAAGAAAAAACAACAGACTCCATATAATTTCAATTATTTTGGTAGCGCTTTCAATGCTTGTTGTGCAATACCTATTAATATATAAACTTTATAAGGGGATTTTATACATTAGCAATTTAAACTTCATACCCCGAATAATATTGACCTACTTTGCCCTATTTGGATTTTTTTGTCATGACATTAAGTTAGGAAATGTTGCACTACATTAAATTTTGTCAAATAATGAATTTTGTTATGTCCAATAATTTAATCTTTTAATTCACTTATTTAAAAAAAGATAGTGAGTATTGCCATTGCAAATGAGTCCTGTCTAAGAGAAAAAGAAAAAACGTGTTGCTAGGGGCAAAAAAAGAAAATACTCGTGCTTCGGGTCTTTAAAACAATTATGTACACTGTCCTGATAACAATGTTTTGTTGTTACAAATTTCCCATTGCAAATCTTTCTTTAATGATCTATATAATTAACAGCACAAAATAATGATTGTGCCTAAAATAATGATACATGTACTTATAAAATTTTATGATTTTAAAAACGTTCTGCTGGCGTGTAAAAAAATAGCCTGTCTTTATAATATACAGTAAGAGTCGTAGGAAATAAATAGGTAAAATAGAGATCCACTTGGATATAAATTATATTTCATTTTGATGAGAAAAAAAATGTTACAAATATCAATAAGGTTAGGAGGATTTTCAAAAATTTATTCTATGTCAAATAATTCAAGAATATTGAAAATGATTTCTCATTGTATAAAATTTGATAATCAATAGAAATAAGGATTTGAAGTTTCAAGACTTTTTAGCTGATAATATTTTAAGGTGATAAATGGGTGACATTGTGATATTAATTTAAGAGGGTGGAGTGTTGCTACTGTTAAGAGATAAACTATGATATTCTGAAGACCACTTATATATACTGTTTGTATATGAATCATCTGTTAAATAAGTAGGAACATTCTTGGACTTTAAAATGTTTGCCAATTTGTAACATTACCAGTCGGCCTGTAACATCAAGATATTTGCTATTAAACTTACCTATATTGTGGCACTTCTGCATTGTTCACAATGACTTTAAACTTTAAATTATGTAAATCTTCACTGCTGCCTAGAACTTCAAAATATTTGAAATATTACCTTACCACAGACTGTGACTTTGAAACAATTTATAAAAAACTGTACCAAAGCCCAGGACTTTAAAATTTTGCTAAACATTTGACTTAAATACATTTGCTGCCATAGACTGGAACTTTAAAATACTTACCAAAGCTTTTGACATTAAAATATTTGCCATGCAATGTTGCCTTACACTTGGACTTTAAAACCTTTGCTATGTAACCTTGCCACAAACTTGGACTTTAAAACCTTTGCTATGTAACCTTACCACAGACTTGGACTTATGCAACCTTTCCACACACTGGGGCTTTAAACCTTTTTTGTGTTACCTTAATCTTAGCAAAGCCTTCAACTTTAATACATTTTCTATGTAGTCTTTCCACAGATTGGGACTTAAAATATATTTGTTATGAACTTTTACCACAGTTTTGCGCTTCAAGATATTTATTTTATCATTTTACCAAGGTTTGTTGATAGCCTACTGATTGCAGGTTATTTTCATTTCTAGTTTCTATATGGAAGGAAATCATATTTGGTAACTTCATTAAACATAGGAGATAAAGATTCTGATAATGTTAGAGATTAAAGTGTTTGATGTTAAATCTTAGTGCTAAACTTGACTGATTAAAGCCTATCTAAGTTGTTTGTTTGTAATATTTTATAGATACCTAATCAGTTAACTTATAAATATTTAAAAAAAAAAGTTTTTTAAAAAATATTGAGACAAACAATTGAATAATTTGCCAATATAAACTTTATTTTTCCCCACCAGATTTCTATTTTAGTTAAGGGGTCTTTCTATAAATAAGCATCCATTTCCAGGTAATGAATGGATATTTAAGAATTCTGTCCTTTGTTTTGACAAAGGTCAGAAGTCCTCACATTTTTGACAAAGTTTAGATGTCCCCTTAGTTTTGGCAAAGGTGAGGAGTTGTCACAGTTATGGCAAGTTTCAGGGGTCCTCATAGTATTGACAAATGTCAGAATTAAGTCCCCACAGTTTTGACAAAGGTCAGAAGTCCTCACTTGGACAAAAAGTACTACATTTCATCCTATAATTGTAGCAGATACATGTACTTATAGATCCCCTCCCTGTTGTCATGGTGAATAAAAATCTGCTATAACTGTATTGAAGTTTTATTTTCATGTAATTGTTTAACTTTGCATATCATTAGCATGCTAATTGTTTGAATATTTTAGGTGATACATGATGGAGAAAAGTTGAGGCCTGTGATTGGTGGATTCAGTGGTAGCTATAACAACAGTAAGGGACAGTATGAACAACAGTTTAATTTGGAGGGAGAATATAAATTTGCCTTGTAAGTTAAAGTGCCATTATGTTTCCATTATATATAGTACATCCTTTGGTTTGTTAGTAAGAGGAGTGACTAAATTTATTGTGAATTGTGAATTATTGTTTTTGCTCTTCAATATTGGAGGAATAAAAAAGTATATATCTATAATTTGTATTTATTTATAATGCTCAATCAAATTGTATTATTGTTGAGCACATTTGACTTTTATTAAAATATGTCTAAATTGGTCAGAGTAACACTATTTCCAGACAAAATTTGAGTGGTCTAAACTAGAAAAAAAACTGCTTAATTAAGAAAACAAACCAAACATTTTCAAATTAATATTTATATACTAATATGTTAAAATTACTGAATGACTTGCAAAAAATTTGAAATTCCAATTCTTTGTACTAAAATACTGCCTATATTTGTTTTTAGGTCTGGTGTAAGATGCACCCCACTTATGATCAGTGTGAGACGGAGGGTTGACCTTGTTACAGAGGTCACGGATGATGGTTTCACCCCTGACATTATATATATTGATCAAGGTCACAGTATAAAGTGGCAATGGAAGGGCTGTACAAGCCCACACTCTGTACAGGAAGTGAAATATGAAATGAACAAAGCTTGCTTCAAACGCGATATCGAGTCATCAGGAAATGTAAAAACCGTGTCAGGAAGTTACAGACATACATTCCCGTAAGTTTCTGAAATATATTAGTTTCTTGTTTTTAGTTCATTCAGAATTTACAGATTTTAGTTCCGTTGTCTAGGAAGCTATGGCAAATAGACACCTTCTTTTATCTGTTCCTGAAAACAACCAGTACTGACAAATAATATAAAGTTTCTTCCGCAAGGAAACAATGGCTTGTGCCTGACATCCTTAGATTACAAGTCTGATGCATTAACTCTTGTCTTTGTTATTCATGTTAAAAAGAATGTAAAAGTTGTAACAAAGGCAAAGTTAAGTTCCATTAAAAAATTTTTATATGTCTTTAGATGCAACTGCAAAAAACTACCATGATTGTGAAGTACAGATGCAATGTTACTGAGTATTTATTGCTATTATTTTATTCTTAACATAAAGCTAAAGCAGGTGTTGTTTTAAACATACTCATTTTAAAAGTTTTGAACTGATTTCATTTTTCAGTCGGCCAGGATTATATTATTTTATGACAGAGAGTTCAGAGTTAGGGAAGCAACATTACTGCGTCGTACACGTGCGCGAGACCCAGAGAGAATATCGTGTTGAGATCATGGACCGCTCATACCAACCCATGATCTTACTGATAGAGGAAGGTGACAGAGTCTGGTGGAGCTGGGATAAGTTAAAGGTATATTAACTGATGAGATACAGATATTTATCAGTGAGATATGGTTTGTATCACTCACTGTACTTACTTATTACTTTTCATAACACAGTTCAATACAGAAATATAAATATTTTTTTTTCTTCGGTCTTTCTTTGTAAGCCTAATGCTTTCCAGTTTTTACTGAAAAATCTGTATTATTCATGCGGCACTACTTTTCGTGGTTTAAGTGGATAGGACAAATTTGAGATCCAACAAAATTCTATTTAATAGACGTGTTGTTCTTCATCCCTTCCTTGATTACTTTGTTTAAAATTCTATTTTGTCTGCTGTACTATTAAATTTATTACATTTTTTTTTCATTTTACTCTTTTGCACAAACAAGACAGTCACCAAATTTAAGAACCCATGAAAATATCCTTTTTGATAAAATCACAAAATTTCATGCCCACATGTATAAGTGAATTCACAGGATATTAGTTCCTTGATACAATATACATAGTTTTCATGAAATACATTGTAGTCCTGATTATATTAAGAATTTATTTTATGTTTAATAAACTTGGCATACTATCATGATTTATTATGTTACAGTGTAAGAAACATCACAGTGTTTACCAGATTGAGGCTCCAAGTGTTGACCATGGAGATGATGACCCATATGTGGTAAGTTTGCCTAGAACATATTCTTATATTGCCCCATTTGTCCCTTCATTGATGTGGATTTTAATTCTCATTATATAATTTGTATAATAATAATCAAGTAGATCATGGACAATCTGGAGATCTCTGTAAATGTCTGCTTTGTGTTTGAAATAACTCACAGAATATCTCCTTTGATATTAAGTCTTATGGTCATTTGTCTCTCACTGCTGATTAAGGAATTTTGCGGGATAAGTAGTCGGTCACTTGAAGAGCAGTTGGCAATAACTGGTTAGTTATCCAGAAAAGCTGGTTAGGTGGTTTGACTGAGATATTACCAAAAATGTGTGAAGCTGAAAAGACACTGTATGTCTGTAACTATTTTATTGTGCCATAAAACTCAATTTTGTGTTAGTGTATACATTGTAATGTAATGTCATATACATGTACTTTTAAATGTTAAAATGTTACAAAATATCAAAAAAAGAAATTTGTTGAGTCTTAAAATGATACTCATTTGAAAAAAAAGAGTCTATTTAACATTAAATTTGTTTTGCTGTAAAGTACACTAAAGTGTGTTTTTGTGGGGCTGGGAGTGGTAAGGGAATGTATTTGAAAAACATGTGTTGCTTATTGTTAATTTCTTAAAACTTGATACATGTATAGCCAAAAATTATCATTAAATTTGAAATGTTACAGCCAGTAAAAGATGGATTTCGGTGGACCACACCAAGTAAACAGGGACTGATGTCATATGAGTTTTTCAAGGCGGGAGTGTACTACTTCTCCGACCAGAATTTCCAGGAGGCGGCAGAATATGTCGGAACCATTATTGTGAAACCAAAACAGAAAGAACACTTTATAGAACTAACTGAAAATGGATTTAATCCAGGTATGTGATAAGACATGAAGGTTGATTAAACAAATCTGTTTGTTCTAGGAATCCATTAGATTTTACTGATCAAATAAAGGAACCTAATGATGAAAATTTAAACAAAATTTTAAACTCTTAATCAAATATTGTCTGACAGTCAAAAAGAAATGTCACATTAAAATTTCAATATTTTAATTCCTGATTAAATTGTTTGTTGAATTTTTATGAGGATTTTTGTTTTGCATGATTTTGCATTTTCAAGAGTCTACAGATATTTGCCATTATAATTGAATTATAATAAATTCTGTTACCTTCCGTTAGACCTGATAAAATACGAACCTTGTTTGTGAATATTTATTCTAAAATTTATTTTAATGCAATAAGTCATTAGCACTTGAATTTTTGCTAAAATTTAACATGAATTTTAATTGAACTGTCCTGTTTACATGACAATATGATAATGCTATGTCTACTTATTGTTTAACAGATTTACTGTATGCACAAACTGGTGACAGAATTTGGTGGACATGGAATGGGCAAGCTTGTATCAACCAGAAAAAACCTCAGTTATTTGCCATCATGGAAACTGAATCATGTTTAAACCCAACCTCAAGAAAATCTTCTGCTAAGGAAGGTGAAGGTCAGTGTGAAGGTCATTTTATAATTTTTCCAAGGTCAAAGGTTAAATATTCTATAATTTGTAGATGAATATCATTATTACGCCTCTGACAATATGCCAAAGACTTAACATAAATTGACACAATTTGCTTTTTGAAATTGAAAAAAGAAATTATGAGAAGTGACAATCCGTAAGAACAACAATTTTATGTTCAGTGAAAGGTTATATACAGGTTCTTGGGAATAGAATAAAATAATGAATTATAGTGGTGGTTCAATTTTTATTATTGTACACTTTCAGAAGTGTTCCAGTATTTGGACGACGAATCTCTAACTCTGTGTACGAAGGTCGGTCTAGCAACGACACATTTCTCTACAATCGGAGTCTACCAGTATAGAATAGCCGACAGTCCTGCCGACTTTAACACTTGTAGTGTAATAGTGAACCCAGGACCAAAGGTTAGTCTAATTATATTTGAAACACAATACTTGAGGACTTTTTTGCATGATATTGAAATATTAGGGAAGAAAAAACATATGGAAAAAAATGCTATACTGTCATTAAGCAGAGCTTCTTGAATAGCTGTTGTTTAGAATGAATGAAAACTTAACTTATAAACTCTTTCCCTGCAGGCTGAAACCGGTTCTACTTAGACCAAGATCAGTTGGCAATTCTATGCTTGATTATCATGGTCTGCACTGTTTGCTATTAAGTAAATATTTTAAAATTGCCCCTAAAATGATGAATGGTTTTGTCCATATTGATAAAAAGACAAGTCCATTTAAGATGTTTAGCATAGTATGGGAAATATGTTGCAATGTTTAGTTTTGATATTTGGATTAAATTTGTCTTAGGGAGGTAATTAAGATATATTTGACTTGCTAATTGAACAGTGTTACTTATCTAAGGGAGGTAATTTAAATGTATTACACTAGCTAACTAACAGTGTTTATTTATGGATTAAGAAAGACAAAAATAATAAAAATGCTTTTATACAAGCTGCCTGGTATAAGGCAAAAATGAATACCCATAGTATTATGATAATGATGTTGAAGGTCATTCATTATAATTACTCTAAAGGTCAAAGTTTATAAACCCAGTTAATTTAAACCTGTACAAAAATCTTAACCCTTTCACTGCCATAGGGACGGCTTATGCCGTCCCTGTTATTTTCGGCGTATTTGCCATATGGACGGCTTTAGCCGTTTCTATAATAATAATAGTAATAATAATAAATTAATAGTAATAATAATAATAATAAAATAATAATAAATATAAAGAAAATTATACCATCAACAATAATTATTATTATACAATATATGTACTAACAGATGTGGAAACATATATAATTATTATAATACTAATAACAAATAATAATAATTATATTAATTAATAATATAGTAATTTCTTAGAAAACCCTCTTGCAAATAGCTGATCAATAAAACAATAACCCTCTGGCAGCGAAAGGGTTAACAAAGATGCTTTTACATGTAAGTGTAAAGTACAATGATAGGATGATAATATTTTATAAAGTACATGTATTTCAATCAGTTTTTTTTTTAATGAAATTTCATTTTATTTTAGAACCATACCATACATCTGACAGACAATGGGTTTGAGCCCAAAGTGATCACAGTACGCCCAAATGACAGAGTCTGGTGGGTGTGGCAAGGTGGCAAAAAAGTGCATAATATTCTTCAGGTAGGATCTTTTTAAAAGTTTTGAAAATCACTTTTTAGGAAGCTGATGGCCAAAAAATTGTTTAAAAAAATGTACAATGTATAAAGTCAAGCTAATGAGTTAACAGTGCTTGGGTAAAGCTATGTAGTTAAATACTTTTACGGGGAAAAAAAATCAAAATTGCTCGAAAAAACCCATATGCTCAAGATTTAGATGCTTAATTGAATAAAGTTATTCTGACCAAAAAAAATGCTTTAATGCTGTAATTTAGAGGTCTTATATTCCCAGAAAATGTCAAATATTATTTGATGAAAATTTATGTTCTAGCCAGATATCATTAGTTTGTGAACCAATTCAGTTGAAGATCATTTTTGCAGAAATAAAAACATATATAAAAATGTAATAATTTGCTTAGATATTAAATTTAAGTATGATATGTACAGTGTAACTTCCGAATTCCCGAACTTCTGAAATCCGAAAACTTCTAAAAACCGAACAATTTTTTCGGTCCCGATTTTTTTTTACTTCTATTTTCTATTAATATAATACTTCTAAATTCCGGAACTTCTAAATTCTGAATTCCGGACGATATTTTCGTAAAATTGGAGTCAAATTAATGCAATTTTACCTCCAAAATCTGGAAATATCCAAAGGTATGAAATACATTGTAAATCGAGAATGTTTACCCTGCAGGAAGATTTAATCTCCCTATCGATTGTTTACTAATTAGCGGTGATCGTGTAATTTGACACGCGTTAAAATCACAAACTGTGAAATGGTATGTTTGAAGTGATGCGGTTAATTAAAGTAATTTACGGCGGTCAGTTAAATTGAAGTGTTTACTAGCGGATTAAATGACAATTAATTGGGACAATGTATGCATCAAACGTCTTTAGGGATTTTATTGCATTTGATTGATTTTTAGCTCACCTGAGCTTATGCTCAGGGTGAGCTATTAGGATCACTCTTCGTCCGTCGTCCGTTGTCCGTTCACACTTTTAAAACGACATCTCCTCTGAAACCATAACGCAGATCATAATGAAACTTCACAGGGATGTTCCTTGTGTGAAGCCTTAACAAAGTTGTTCAAAGAATTCCATTCCATGCAGAACTCTGGTTGCCATGGCAACCAATAGGAAAAACTTTAAATATCTTCTTTTAAAAAACCCCAAGAGCTAGAGCTTAGATATTGGGCATGAAACATCTTCTAGTGAGTGTCTACCAAGTTTGTTCAAATAAAATCCCTGGGGTCAAAATTGGCCCCGCCCCAGGGGGTCATTGATTTTCCCTATATGCATATAGTAAAAACTTAAAAAATCTTCTTTTAAAGAACCCAAAGAGCTAGAGTTTAGATATTTAGCATGAAACATCTTCTAATGAGTGTCTACCAAGTTTGTTCAAATAAAATCCCTGGGGTCAAAATTGGCCCCGCCCCAGGGGGTCATTGATTTTCCCTATATGCATATAGTAAAAACTTAAAAAATCTTCTTTTAAAGAACCCAAAGAGCTAGAGCTTAGATAATTAGCATGAAACATTTTCTAATGAGTGTCTACTAAGTTTGTTCAAATAAAAGCCCTTGGGTCAAAATTGGCCCCGCCCCAGGGGGTCATTGATTTTCCCTATATGCATATAGTAAAAACGTAAAAAATCTTCTTTTAAAGAACTCAAAGAGCTAGAGCTAAGATATTTAGCATGAAACATGTTCTAATGGGTGTCTACCAAGTTTGTTCAAATAAAAGCCCTGGGGTCAAAATTTGCCCAGCCCGGGGGTCATTGATTTTCCTTATATGTGTATAGCAAAAACTTAAAAAATCTTCTTTAAAAAAACCCAAATAGCTAGAGTTTAAGTATTAAGCATGAAATATCTTCTAGTGAGTGTCTACAAAGTACAAAGAGTCATAAAATGATATTCATTTGAAAAATGAGTCTATTAAACATTAAATATGCTTTGCTGTAATGTCCACTGAAGTGTGTTTTTTGGGATTGGGAGTGATTAGGGAAGGTGTTTGAAAAACATGTTAATTGCTTAATTAGCGGTGATCGTGTAATTTGACACGCGTTAAAATCACAAACTGTGAAATGGTATGTTTGAAGTGATGCGGTTAATTAAAGTAATTTACGGCGGTCAGTTAAATTGAAGTGTTTACTAGCGGATTAAATGACAATTAATTGGGACAATGTATGCATCAAACGTCTTTAGGGATTTTATTGTATTTGATTGATTTTTAGCTCACCTGAGCATATGCTCAGGGTGAGCTATTAGGATCACTCTTCGTCAGTCGTCCGTTGTCCGTTCACACTTTTAAAACGACATCTCCTCTGAAACCATAACGCAGATCATAATGAAACTTCACAGGGATGTTCCTTGTGTGAAGCCTTAACAAAGTTGTTCAAAGAATTCCATTCCATGCAGAACTCTGGTTGCCATGGCAACCAATAGGAAAAACTTTAAATATCTTCTTTTAAAAAACCCTAAGAGCTAGAGCTTAGATATTGGGCATGAAACATCTTCTAGTGAGTGTCTACCAAGTTTGTTCAAATAAAATCCCTGGGGTCAAAATTGGCCCCGCCCCAGGGGGTCATTGATTTTCCCTATATGCATATAGTAAAAACTTAAAAAATCTTCTTTTAAAGAACCCAAAGAGCTAGAGTTTAGATATTTAGCATGAAACATCTTCTAATGAGTGTCTACCAAGTTTGTTCAAATAAAATCCCTGGGGTCAAAATTGGCCCCGCCCCAGGGGGTCATTGATTTTCCTTATATGCATATAGTAAAAACTTAAAAAATCTTCTTTTAAAGAACCCAAAGAGCTAGAGCTTAGATATTTAGCATGAAACATTTTCTAATGAGTGTCTACTAAGTTTGTTCAAATAAAAGCCCTTGGGTCAAAATTGGCCCGCCCCAGGGGGTCATTGATTTTCCCTATATGCATATAGTAAAAACGTAAAAAAATCTTCTTTTAAAGAACTCAAAGAGCTAGAGCTAAGATATTTAGCATGAAACATGTTCTAATGGGTGTCTACCAAGTTTGTTCAAATAAAAGCCCTGGGGTCAAAATTTGCCCAGCCCCGGGGGTCATTGATTTTCCTTATATGTGTATAGCAAAAACTTAAAAAATCTTCTTTGAAAAAACCCAAATAGCTAGAGTTTAAGTATTAAGCATGAAATATCTTCTAGTGAGTGTCTACAAAGTGCGTTCAAATAAAAGCCCTGGGGTCAAAATTGGCCCGGCCCCAGGGGTGTCATTGTTTTTAACTATATGTGTATAGTAAAATCTTAAAAAAATTTCTTTTAAAAATCCCAATGAGCTAGAGCTTAGAGGTTTAGCATGAAACATCTTCTTATGGGTGTCTACCAAGTTTGTTCAAATAAAAGCCCTTGGGTTAAAATTGGCCCTGCTGGGAGGAGGAGAAACAGGGGGGAGAGATCATTGTTTTTCATTATATGTGTGTCGTAAAAACTTAACATCATGAAACATCTTCTAATGGGTGTCTTTCAAGTTTGTTCAAATAAAAGCCCTGGGGTTTAAACTGGCCCCGCTGCAGGGGCCTATATACAGGTGAGCGACCTCAGGGCCATGATGGCCCTCTTGTTATATAAGTATCATTATTATAAAGTATTAAATAAAGTGTTAAATATTTTCTTTTCCTTCACATCTTTATCTTGATTAAAAGACTATTATATATGATATTACAGTGATGGCCACATTTTCCTTGACATTTAGTGGCTTAGTCTTGTCCACATTATCATAAACCTCTGAATTCCGGGAAACCTCTGAAATCTGAACTTTTTGACAAGTCCCAAGGGTGTTCGGTTTTCAGAAGTTACACTGTATATAGCTCTTATGTTGTTTCAACAATTATTATAATAATATGTTGTTGTTATTGTTGTATAATATGTTTTAATGTATAAGCATTTTCTGGTTACAGGTATCACATCAAGGAGACCCTATAGAGAAAGGTTTCTGTAGTGGAGCCCCACGGGAAGCCCCGTCTGCATTTGTTCATCAGTTTATTACCCCGGGTGTGTTCTACTTCTTGAGTCATAGTCTACCAAAAATATTCGGAGCAGTCGTCGTGTCAACGCAACCTCAGGTCTGTAATATATACATGTACCTAACTTTTAAATCAGTGTATACACGGTTCATTTATTGCTTTAGACGGAAATGCATAAGACTTTTTTATATATGTATCATAAAACATCATTTCATTATTTTAAAAAGAATTCAAATCCTGAAGAAAAGTTTTTTGGGTAAAAATAATAAAATGTGGGTAAATGGTACTAGGACTAAACTCACTTTCGGAATTATATTGTATAATTTATGTTGATGTAAAATTATATGTATAAATCTGAAATAATTTTATATAAATGGGGTTATTTCAGTTTGGACCGGAAGAAAATATATATTGTATAATTTATGATATATTGTTTATAGGTACATGAAGTGAATGTAGGAAATGACATCAAACCTGACCCAGTCACGGTGAAACTTAACGATATTGTGTGCTGGATATTCCGCAGTATTCGCATGTACGATGTTTGCCGTGTTGAAAGTGTGGATCAAGTTGTTGGCAATGGTATTCAAGAAATCACCGTCCCTCCAAGGTTTGTAATTGTACATTGATTTAGAAGATTTCATAGTGATGTAGTGAATCAATTGTGGATAATAAGCAGAACTTTGATTTTTTTATCTTTTGGATTTATTGATAATTAGGAGGCTATGTTTATTATATAAACACATAAATGGGATAAGTTAAGATATTTGATGTAATGTATTGATTGCTAGAATTCCCCTAGAATTGGTTTCTTGTGACAGGTCTAAGGCAGTTATTTTATGAAGAAAAAGCCCTGTAGATTGTTCATGGATGATCAACTTTTCAGCTGTTCCTTGTAAATTTCTCTGTGGTCATAATTGTTATATTAAACTTTATGACAAATCCAAGAAGTTTTGTGGTGGTTGAGATAAGATTGACTTAAAGGTGACTAATGCTAACTTAAAAGTGACTAAATTTTTGTTTTTGTTCTGAAAAAGTTAGTGGACTTTTAGGATATAAGTAAAAAAAAAAATCTGCTTGTATGTTATTACATGAAGTTTTACTAATTTATAATGTGTATTTATTTTAGACGGTGCATGAGTAAAGCTATAACAAGAACTGGCGTACAACATTTTTACAGCAAATCTTTTGCTAAAGGAAAAGGAGGCAAAGAAAATGTAAGAAAAATTCTCATCATTTAGTTGAAAATTTAAATATTTTTTGCAACAGAAGGATTATTTAAAAGAAACTACATTGGCAATTATAAAATTAGTAATATTTTAAGCATGGCAAAATGTACATGTAAATATCAGTAATGTTTGTAAAAATCTGAATAATTTTTTATTTATTTAAATTTCTGTATTATTATTATTATTATTGTCTATTTTCCAGCATTTTATAAAAGAACATTAAAGATATATTTACAGGAAAGGGAAGATAGTTTGTTCATATACAACAATGACTGTTTCAACATATACAGGATATTATATAGGTTAATTTACTCGTTGTTTTATTTCAGTACATCGATGACGTTAAACTAAGCAGTATCCTGTGTGACGACAGATTTGATAACGCTGTTGTACGTGTAGACAAGGATGGTTTCCACCCAGCCGTGTTCTATATACAGAAAGGTCAAAGTGTACTGTGGACGTGGAAGGGAACAGAGGAAGAATCACATAATATCATACATGTCAAATCTCCCGACAGTGATGTAAGATTGAATTGGTTGATGAAAACATTAGAATAAATGTATAAACTCAGACAAATATAGTAGAACCTCACTAATGAGACCACTTGTGGTTCTGAAGAAAAATGGTCTTAATAGTGATTTTACAACTACCCAGATATGGTCTGATAAATGGTGTTTAAATACATGTAAAAATTGTTAATTTTTTGGAAGAAAGTGGCAGTATTAAGTAATTGTGGGGTGGTCTCCATTTTTGTGTCGCCTCTACGGAGTAGTGGCGACATATAGGGATCACTTCTCCGTCGTCTGTCCGTCTGTCCGTCTGTCTGTCTGTCTGTCCGTCCGTCTGTCCGTCCGTCCGTCCGTCACAAATCTTGTCCGGACTACTCCTCATAAACTACTGGTGCAATTTCATCCAAACTTTACAGGAATGATCAGTACCAAGTCTAGTTGTGCATATTGTCAGGATTTTCCGGTTCAATGATTTTTGTCAGAGTTATGGCCCTTTAATAATTTTTAATTTTAAAGTTTGTCCGGACTACTTCTCTTATACCACTAATGCAATTTCAATGAAACTTTACAGGATTGATCTGTAGCTCAAGTCCTTGCGCATATTGCACGGGTTTTCCGGTTGAATGATTTTTGGCCGAGTTATGGCCCTTTGATAAAAAGGTTTCTTTTTCTGTGTGTTGCCAGATACACAAAAGCTTGTCCGGACTACTCCTCATAAACTACTGGTGCAATTTCATCCAAACTTTACAGGAATGATCAGTACCAAGTCTTGTTGTGCATATTGTCAGCATTTTCCGGTTCAATGATTTTTCTTTGAGTTATAGGCCCTTAAAAATTTTTATTTTTAAAGTTTGTCCAGACTACTTCTCTTATACCACTTATGCAATTTCAATGAAACTTTACAGGATTGATCTGTAGCTCAAGTCCTTGCGCATATTGCACGGGTTTTCCGGTTGAATGATTTTTGGCCGAGTTATGGCCCTTTGATAAAAAGGTGTTTTTTTCTGTGTGTTGCCAGATACGCAAAAGCTTGTCCGGACTACTCCTCATAAACTACTGGTGCAATTTTATCCAAATTTTACAGGAATGATCAGTACAAAGTGGTTAGTCTAGTTGTGCACTGTCCGTCTATCTGTCCGTCTGTCACAAAATTTGTCCCAACATGAAATTGGCCATCATGAGGCGACACATGTGATTACTGATCGCTCTTGTTGGATAGAAAAACCATTAAAATAAGAAGAAGAAGAAATCTGCTCTTTGAAAAATTGGTCAAAATAGCGGATTGGTTGTGAAAATGGGGGGTGGGGGCATAAGGTGGGGCTGTACTGTATAATGATTTGTCCTGTTAGATTTATATTAAAAGACAGGCTCAGAGTGGGTAAAATGATGAAATGACATGCGTGTATATGTGGAAAGGGAGTAAATGTTATTGATCCTAATTAATACATTATTTGGTAATGTTGAGATAATTGTTATGTTATTTTATATTTCATTTCAAGGTTTCATACATGATAATATGCCTTTTCTTGTATGTTTTACAGGAACCATTAAATGTGATCCATGGTGCCAAATCATTTAACAGTGGTAAACCAATACCCAACAACAGTTTCCTGTATACATTTGATGAAGATGGGTCCTACACTGTGGCGTCGCAGGGAGCTCCAGGATTCTACTGTACAGTGGTTGTCATGGATGTTGGTATGTTTATAACTTTATTGTGCATAAAAAATATTAGCAGAATTTACAGTATATTGCTAAATGTTTAGTGTTAGATACTGAGATATTTAAACATATTTCAAAATGAAACCCTGGCCCCGTGTTCACAAAGATTTAAAGAGCAGGATCAAGATCAGGATCAAATTTAAAAACCCTAATATTCTTCATTGTTTATCCTCATAGATTAAATATCTAATATTAATTTGATAAAACTGGACTTAAAATAGCATGTATATGAAATTTTAGAATAAATTAATTGTTAATTTTGCAAGATATGGGCATTTTACAGTTGATCCAAATATTGATCCTGATCCTAAAATTGATCCTTATTTTGATCCAAATATTTTTGTATTTGTTTTATTATTTGTTGATTTTATCCCAAAAAAGTTTGTTTTCTTTGCAAATCAGCATATTTTTACATTTTGAATATTTACAATTTAATTCAACAAAACACAAATAATTTTAGTAACATTAAACAATGAAAATAAAATCAGGATCACTTGATCCTGATCCTGATCTTTTCTTAGTGAACACGGGGCCTGGTATGTCAATTTCAGTTATACATGATGATAATAATAATAATTTGCTAGAAATTAATGAATACTGTTACATTTGTATATAATTGTCTGTTAGTATGTTACAATTTTAAAGAAAATTCTAGTCAAGAATATGCCATGATGTTAGCAGTAGATGTAATAAATTCTCTATTTTTACCTCATTAGGAATGAGAGTAAAGGAACCATATTTAGATGGTGCAACTGGAGGCACTATTGAGCCAGGTACCAAAGTGACCTTGACCTGTGATACACCAGGAGCCAGAATATACTATACCACAGATGGTTCACCTGCTGAACTTCACATTGATTCAGTCAAGGTATTGCATACAGATATTTTCGTTAATTATAGTTAATTAAGTTTAGCATAATTATCCAAATTGCCACTTTTTAGCTCGACTATTCGATAAGAATAAGTAGAGCTATTGCAGTCACCCGAGCGTCGGCGTCGGCGTCGGCGTAACCACTTATGTTAAAGTTTTTGTAATAGTTCAAATATTTTCAAAGTCCATTGACATATGGCTTTGAAACTTTGCACACTTGTTCACCATCATGACCCCAACCTGTAGACAGGAGGAGGTAACTCTATCAAGCATTTTGACAGAATTATGCCCCTTTTTCGACTTAGAATTTACGTTAAAGTTTTTGTAATAGTTCAAATATTTTCAAAGTCCATTGACATATGGCTTTGAAACTTTGCACACTTGTTCACCATCATGACCCCAACCTGTAGACAGGAGGAGGTAACTCTATCAAGTATTTTGACAGAATTATGCCCCTTTTTCGACTTAGAATTTACGTTAAAGTTTTTGTAATAGTTCAAATATTTTCAAAGTCCATTGACATATGGCTTTGAAACTTTGCACACTTGTTTACGATCATGACCCCAACCTGTAGACAGGAGGAGGTAACTCTATCAAGCATTTTGACAGAATTATGCCCCTTTTTCGACTTAGAATTTACGTTAAAGTTTTTGTAATAGTTCAAATATTTTCAAAGTCCATAGACATATGGCTTTGAAACATTGCACACTTGTTCAACATCATGACCCCAACCTGTAGACAGCAGGAGGAAACTCTATTAAGCATTTTGACAGAATTATGCCCCTTTTTCGACTTAGAATTTACGTTAAAGTTTTTGTAATAGTTCAAATATTTTCAAAGTCCATTGACATATATGGCTTTGAAACTTTGCACACTTGTTCAACATCATGACCCCAACCTGTAAACAGGAGGTGGTAACTCTATCAAGCATTTTGACAGAATTATGCCCCTTTTTCGACTTAGAATTTACGTTAAAGTTTTTGTAATAGTTCAAATATTTTCAAAGTCCATTGACATATGGCTTTGACATCATGACCCCAACCTGTAAACAGGAGGAGGTAACTGTATCAGGCATTTTTTTTACTATCAAGCACTAAGAATAGTCGAGCATGCTGTCCTACCGACAGCTCTTGTTTGAACAGATTAGTGCTTTGCCTGCTTGTGAAAATTTATGACATAAATCCAGTGCAGCCAAAGATCAAGCTGCACAGCTGTGTTATTCTATCAGAAGATCTACATATTTTGAAATTTTTTGTAGAGGCAAAAAATGGTATTGTCCAAAAAAGACCACATTTAAGGTATTCAGTGTAGTGAGATTGAACATATAAGAAAGCTGGTATGATTATTGGTACACAAGTATGTGATAACATGTCTCCAATGTTTTTTATTCCTTTACTTTTTTTTACTTTTTTTTTTTGATATGACTGAAAGGTAAATATTGTCACACTTGTTTCAAAACTTACCTTTAATTTGACAGCTTACCCTAAACTTTTCTTTTTATGTAAAAAAACTCCAATACCTCTAAATAATTGTGCTTTAATTTGGAAAAGTTTACTTATTGATTCCATAGATAGATAGGCAATAGTATAATTTGATTTAGCAATATACAAGAGGAAGTTGAATTGTTGATTTTCGGCAAGAAAACTGTTATTTCTGTATTCAAAGTGATTAACATTACATACAAGTATTTGTAAATATAAATATTTCAGCTTTACAAACCAGAAAAGGGAATAGTACTGTCCAAACCAGGACTGAGATTTGTCCGAGCTATAGCTGTAAAAGAGGGCAGGCTCAACAGTCATGTACATACATCCGGGTAAGTTTGAAACAACCATCATTCCAGTTAGCTTTCAGAAAGTTTGTGGATTTATTGAGATCTCTGACCATGCCTTGATACTTATGCATGGGGGCCATATTAGGTGTTCTTTTAGATGGAAAAGCGGGAATGTCACCATAAAACACTGCAATATTAAATCGGGTGATGTGACTATATATCTAATAAAAATAAAACATACTTAGTAAATTTCTTAAACTTTATTAAAGAAAGATAGTTTTCATTGATTCTACAGTCGATGAATTCTAATCCAGTTACCTGTCTGGCGTGGGTTTGATCCCCGGGAGATGCTTTGGTAGTTAAGCGCGGAGAAAGGTAGTCTAGTACTGGTGTAACTCTCCAGGAACTATGGTTAGGAAACTACCCACCTATATGGCTGAATTACTGTTGGGAAAAGGCCTAAAATGAAACAAACAAACAAACATTGATTTCTTTATAGGAAAATTATAAAAAAAATTATATATTTACAGTCGGTTCTGGGTGCTAGGTGACGATGATGAAGAATCTGATTCCTCAGAGATGTCCGAGCCACAGACGGTTCCAAGACCAAAAACTTCCGTATGTTCATTTATCATTGTTACATCTATATGGGTTAATAGTTGATATTGTATGATAGAAATTCTTGTCAAAATTTGTTTTTAAATTTTAGATCCTGTATGTTGTAATTGAGGTTGTATACCACACTTTAGTGAAATTATATATGAGCCGCGTCACGACAAAACCAACATAATGGGTTTGCGACCAGCATGGATCCAGACCAGCCTGCGCATCCGTGCAGTCTGATCAGGATCTATGCTGTTCGCTATCAGTTTCTCTACTTGTTATAGGGTTTGTAAGCGAACAGCATGGATCCTGATCAGACTGCGCGGATGCGCAGGCTGGTCTGGATCCATGCTGGTCGCAAACCCACTATGTTGGTTTTGTCGTGACACGGCTCATATAATGTGCTTTTTGGAACTTACAAAATTGATAACTTTTAATTTGAGCATCATATTTATGATATAAACCCATAAAAATTTGTGTTACAGGATCTTAAAGAGAAAAAAATATAGAAAAAAAAATACAATAAAATTCAAAACACATGTAATTACTCTCAATATATAAGTTCTGTATGGTAACTTATTTATGATTGGTTCTATATATTTCACAGGCAAAGACATGGGATTGGTGGGGATGTATTCCTAACATCAGAGCATGCTTCACTACACCAGGCACCCTGGAGGTGTTCTGGGAGAAACCTGATAGAGGACATCTAGCTCTCATCAAGGGCTACCAGGTTTGTACTTTCATCCTTAAATTATGGAAATAGAAATATTTTCTTCAAGTTATTTATCAAAAAAAAAACAATATTTATTTGCAGCATAGGATGTTTTGTAGTATATCAGGTCTTACATTAGGTGAAACATAATAATATATTGCTGAAAAATGAGACTACTTCGTCCGAGGTTATAAACAAATTCTCCAAGCTCACACTCAAATCTCAGCTATTTGATTGGTCAGCAATCCACAGAATTCCACAGAATGCACACTGACCAATGAAAAACATGAGATTTGAGACAATACTCAGGAAAAATGTTTTATAACCTTGAGGCCTGGTGTTGTATATGTTTATCATTTTCTCTGGAAAACTATATAAGCATCTTGCTTTAGATTTAGAAGACTGTTGATTATTTTTTCTGGTGGATAGTGCAAAGAGTGAAGAGATTCTCCATTCTAGCAGTAACCACCAGTTCTTTATACATAAAAGAATATTAGACACAAGGGCATGGATTTTTGAGTGAAATTTACATTTGTGAGACTTTTAGCAATTTAAGATGATGTTGTAGGATATTGAACTGGCAACACTGAGATTTGTGGTCAGACGTTGATGCCACTGTACCAGTTACCCACTCTGTGGTGTCACATAATTTCATGTTGCCGATATTTAATATTCTTAAATGGTTTGACATTTATCATTTTTCAGATATTATTAAATAGTGTGACATTTACCATATTTAAGATATTCCTTACTTAATGTTGTGACATTTATCATTTTTCAGATATTCTTAAATAGTGTGACATTTACCATATTTCAGATATTCCTTAATGTTGTGACATTTACCATATTTCAGATATTCCTTAATGTTGTGACATTTACCATATTTCAGATATTCCTTAATGTTGTTACATTTACCCTATTTTCGATATTCATTAATGTTGTGACATTTACCATATTTCAGATATTCATGAATGGTGTGACATACTGTGACATGTTTCCACCTAGTAACAACAGTTTGTGTGTTAGTGGAATGGCAGGTGGCAGACTGTACGAGGTGGTGGTTGAGGTATACGGCAAGAAATCAGACTGTACCACACAGAAATCTAACAGACTGGTAAATATAAATACTTTTGTTATAATGGGGGTATTTATTTTGAATTTGCATTTAGAATTTAATTTATACCAGATTATTTGATGCATCTTGAATTATGAAGCTTCTGTCAAGGCAGATGATGATGATTTTGGGAAGCAAAGCTTCTGAAAGATAGCATATGTTCAGAATCAAACAGTGAAGTTATTCAAAGTTGCTATTATCTCCAAACATATGCTTTAAAATTTGATTAATATATTAGTATTAGTGGAATTCATCTTTTTGATGTATGATGCCTGATTCAAAACTTGCAATATATATAGCAAGTTGGAATTCTCTCAATATAAATAGGGGTATCAAAATAATATGCTTAGTTGACTACAAGCATTCCAAATATATATTTGAGAAATATTATTATTAGCTACTGATAATAAAACTGACTGAATTAATGCAATTTATTGACCTATTAATGCTTTGTTTGTGTCATGTTATTAAATAAATCTTTTTTAAATTTTAGAAGTTGAAATGTCCACTAGTTACACCTGATGGTGGGCCAGTTATCTCCCTTGAGAGAACGGAGAAACAGGATGCTCTGGCTATAGTCTGGATGTCTATCGACCAACCCAATAACCCAGTCTCAGGATACCTGGTATTCCTTAATGACAAACAATGTGGTGCTAGAGTAAGTGAAAAATGTTATTTCCAGTACTAAATTTTTATGAATTTATTAGAAGAACTACTACATGCCCAATGCTTTTTTTCCTTTTTTAGCAGGGTTTTTTTTATACCCCCGCACAACAAAGTTGTAAGGGGGGTATACTGGAATCAGCTTGTCCGTCCGGCCGTCCGGCGTCCGGCCGTCCGTCGGTTTTTTCTTGTCCGCCCAATAACTTAAGATTCCTATGACCCACAGCCTTCATATTTGGCATGGTGGTTACTCATGATTAGTAGATGACGCCTATTGATTTTGAGGTCACCAGGTCAAAGGTCAAGGTCACGGGGGCCTTGACTTCAAAAACCTTGTCCGCCCAATAACTTAAGATTCCTATGACCCACTGTCTTCATATTTGGCATGGTTGTTAGTCATGATTAGTAGATGACCCCTATTGATTTTGAGGTCACCAGGTCAAAGGTCAAGGTCACAGGGGCCTTGACTTCAAAAACCTTGTCCGCCCAATAACTTAAGATTCCTATGACCCGCTGTCTTCATATTTGGCATGGTGGTTAGTCATGATTAGTACATGACCCCTATTGATTTTGAGGTCAAAGGTCAAGGTCACAGGGGCCTTGACTTCAAAAACCTTGTCTGCCCAATAACTTAAGATTCCTATGACCCACTGTCTTCATAATTGGCATGGTGGTTAGTCTTGATTAGTAGATGACCCTATATTGTTTTTGAGGTCACCAGGTCAAAGGTCAAGGTCACAGGGGCCTTGACTTCAAAAACCTTGTCCGCCCAATAACTTAAGATTCCTATGACCCACTGTCTTCATATTTGGCATGGTGGTTAGTCATGATTAGTAGATGACCCCTATTGATTTTGAGGTCACCAGGTCAAAGGTCACAGGGGCCTTGACTTCAAAAAGCTCTTCCGCCCTATAACTTTAGATTCCTTTGACCCATAGTCTTCATATTTGGCATGGAGGTTAGTCATGATTAGTAGATGACCCCTATTGATTTTGAGGTCACCAGGTCAAAGGTCAAGGTCACAGGGGCCTTGACTCCAAAAAGCTTGTCCGCCCAATAACTTAAGATTCCTTTGACCTACAGTCTTCATATTTGGAATGGAGGTTAGTCATGATTAGTAGATCACCCCTATTGATTTTGAGGTCACCGGGTCAAAGGTCAAGTTCACAGGGGCCTTGACTTATAAAACCTTGTCCGCCCAATAACTGAAGATTCCTATGACCCACTGTCTTCATATTTGGCATGGAGGTTAGTCATGATTAGAAGATGACCCCTATTGATTTTGAGGTCACCAGGTCAAAGGTCAAGGTCACAGGGACTTAGACTTCAAAAAGTTGTCCACCCATTTATGACCCACAGTCTTCATATTTGGCATGGATGTTGATCATGACTATAAGGTGACCCCTATTGATTTTGAGGTCACTGGGTCAAAGGTCAAGGTCACAGGGACCTTGACAAAAAAAAGCTTTTCTTCTTAATTGTTAAAGAATGTCCTGTCCACAATGTATTGATTTTGACATTTTCACATTTGAAGCATGTAGAATACATAACTTAGCAATGCACCTGCATAGTAACCTCAGATTTGGCAGGGAGGTTGTCCTTGAGCTCTAATGGGCCACTGTTGATTCTGACAAAGTGGTATGCGGGGGTATTCACGCCATGATAGTGGCAGTTCTAGTTATAAGCTGCTTCTCTTCAAGAAAATTCTTAAAACATCATGCAGTTGTCTTCTAAAATTCAATTTACAGCACATTTTTGCTTCTCAATTGGCAAAAATACTGGTTCCCAGAAATTTAAGGGTAGGGCTGGTACCCATATCTGAAAATTTCCTGATGCCCATTGTACATTTTTCATAGGTTTTCACTTTCAGACATACTATTCCTACACAAGACTTTTTAGCTGTAAAGTTAACATGTTTTTCTGCTTTATTTTTAACTGAATGACATTCAGTTTGTCTGGTTGTTTTAATATCTATTTTAACTACCGGTACCACTAAAATGTCTGTATACATTATTTATAATGACTAATCAATACAAGCATTACTGTTGACAGTGATGAGTTAAAACATTTGTTATCAGTTGGTTAATTTATTATACCATACCTTCTCAACTTAAATATGCACAATAAACATTTCTAATCATATATCAAAAGTTTATCAAATCTTGATGTTCAATATTTTTTTAAACTGCTATTTCCTAATATTAAAATTTGAATGGAAATATTGCAAGGAAATTTTGCAAGGTAATTTTTGTTTAAAAACATTATTTTTGTGTTTGAAAAGGCATTATTAATCAAATTTATTGATAAAATTATGATGTAATGAATCTCTGAAGAAGGAAGCACTCTCTTATGTTAAAACTTACGATGTGTTTAACTAGTATTTTTTTAATATTTTTTTTTACCATTTTAGCCCTTAACATTTTGAAACCAAAACTGATTAGCCTTTGCCATTAGTATAGAGTAACAAGCCAGCTTGCACATTCGTGCAGTCTGACCAAGCCCTATATTGTTGGCAGCTCACTATTTTTATATTGAAATTCCTCCAACTTTAACAAGACTGTTCCAAAATCAAGGAAGACAAATCTTTTGCACAAATTCATCAGGTTAGTCAAGTCAAGTCAAAAGATTTATTCAGTAAATAAAGGCCACCGGCCCAAAATACATGTCATACAAAATATGATATTTAACATTATAAGGTTGTGTCTTTTACAAGTTTTGACAATCATTACATTTAAATGCTACTGTGCTATAGATATCATGAGGTGGTAAATATAAGTAGAGATTTTCTTAATTATAAAAATATCATTTGATGAGAGTAATTCATAAAAGTTATGTAATTCATTTCCGGAATTATACCAGTTTAGTAAATAGGTATTTCTAATTTCTAAATATTTTTTACAATGAAAAAAAGCATGATATTCACAGTCAATATGATAAGTTAAATGATTTTCAAGACAAAAGTTGCAAAAGCGTTCTTGAAAAGGTATATTTAAATGCCTACCGATTTCAACATTAAGTTTGTGATTTGAACATCGAAATTTAGCATATGCTTTCTTGTGTTTTACAGGGATTTCTATAAGAAGATACCGTTCTACATTTAATAAGCTTTTAAAATAACAATAATGGTGACATCTACTGGCATTGTTAATATTATCATGCCAATTTTGAGTATAACAATCTATTATGCGTTGTTTAAAAATGCTAACAAAAATATTCACATCTCCTATTTCTTGAGAAATCCAAATGTAACCAAATCCGTAACTGTATAAAAGTATTCGTATTTTGCTAGCCCAACAAGTTCTTCCAGCTTCATCTAGTGATTTTAACATTAAATAACATTGTTTTGGGTAACGGTATGGTGGCATAACTAATAGCTTACACCAATAACGGATGCAATTTGTATAATAAGTAATACAAAGTGGGAGTCTACCACATTCACCTAACACCATGCTTGTGTTTGTATTTTTTCGAACATTTAATAAACCCTTACAGAACATATTATGAACAGATTCTATAGTTGGACTAAATTCATACCCCCATGGGATAGATGGAAATATGGCCTTGTTTCTATGGTAACTATGATATAATTTCAGCTTGTACCTGACCCTGAGAGTAATAGATGTAAGGTGGTGATAGGAAGCTGTGAGTTGGAGAAACCATACAAGGTGTACGTTGTGGCTATACCTGAAGGTTAGTATCTACTTTGTTACCATGACAACTGTCACATGACAACTGCCACATGGTTATCTTGGTCGCATTTGATGTATAAGCACTTAGCACTGATTAAAAATTGAGGGAAAAACAAATAACAGTTCATATGATAAATTATCTGCATGCTTTGTTAGAAATGCACCCAATCAAATTTTTTTTCTGGAATGACCACAAAGATTATGCTGGGCTGTTGCTTAACAATGTCAAAAATTAATGTAAAGACTTTAAAATCAGAAATATTCATTTCTCTAGTTCTTCGTGAAATAAAAGGTTTTATTGGGGATAAAATGACAGGCGTATGTGAAAACTATATATACAATAGATGTAGGGAAAGGTGGTATAGATGCACAAATTTTATGTTTCACTGCTTTTATCATCTTCTGATATACATGTACATTTGTATCACCATTGTGTATTTTGAATAATTATTTTTGTGTTCCTTTTCCACCATATTATGTTGTTGTATTTGCTTATTAGCATCTCAATACATGATTGTACATTATAGAATGAATTACAGAAATGTACTTTTTCCATCTTTATTTTATCTTAATTTTATCCTATGTATGATCAATATTTCACAGATAAATCAAAAAAGGGTAAGACCACTGTTGTTTTGATCCCCAAGTCTTGATATTGAACAACAAGTATTTCAGTCCATTTTAATTTCTTTTTTTTTTTTCTTTTTTTTTCTTTTGTTACAATACATTAATAATAAATTTGAATTAGTTATGAAGTTTGAAATTCAAACTGAAATTGCCATAAGATTATTATAAAAAGATTTTTTTTTTCAATAAAATTGCAGACTTATTTTACATTTATCATTAAATAATGAGACTGAATAAGGTGCATGTTTTTACATACCTACATAGTGTACCAAAAATGCTCTTCTAAATTTTTACTGACGGAAATTTATACTTTTGTTCACCTATATGTGAATTCTTAATTTGGTAGTAGAAAAACAAGGTTATATTTAAAGCAATAAATATCATTGGTACATTTGCCCATTTAGTATTTCATTAATAATGTTTAGATGGATTTTATTACACTGAAAACTTGTTGTTATTATAGTGGTGAACCCCATAGTTTAGTTATAAAATTAATGGTGGTAGATTTTTATTAATTATATTTTTTTCATAGATTTGTTAAGATTTTTATTTCCTATGACTAGAAATTACTTTTACTCATGGTCATTATGGTGTTTTTAGATGTTAACATAGATTTTCTATATTATATATAGAGGTTGTAAATGATTCATTTTAACCCCTTACCTGTAAGAAACGAAAGCAACTAGCCTTTTCCATCAGTATAGAACCAGGCAAGTCTGCCAACACGTTTGTGCAGTCTGACCAGGCTCAATACAGTTGGCTAACTAGCTTAACTAGCTTTAAATTTCAACCTGATATCCCTAAATTTGGGAATGGACAGTTCCAAGAATGGAAGATGGACAAGTCCATTTAAGAAATTCAGCAGGTTTAGGGTTAATCTATATTATATTCTGATTTTATGTTTTTACTTTAGGCTTATCAAACTTTGCTTTTCTGTATTTCTTCAATTTTACTTTTCTTGTTAAATTCTCTCCTGTTGCTTCCATATAAGGCTGTCACTGTTCATTGATTTCATAAGCCATGATTAGGTTTCTTGCCTTCATAAGCCATGATTAGGTTTCTTGCCTTCAAAAACCATGATTAGGTTCCTTGCATATATATAAGGTGTTCATACATGTAGAATGGTACTATAGGTAGATATTCTTTAAACTTTCCTTCCATCTAATTTCCATTTTGTAAGCATTAATGTCTTCTTTTTTGTCAATAGATTAAAAAAGCAACATTTTATGAATGTTATGCATGAATTACATGATATTTACACACAAAAATGCTCCTGTCCATTCATTTGACCATAAGGTTAGAGGTGTATCTTAGAAAAATTCTCATTGTTGTTGGGAGTCATAGAATAAAACAATGCAGTCAATCCAATCTCTTTAACATAAGAATAATGTTTCCACCTAGTTTGTTCACACATGTTTTTCAACAGCTATACAGACAAGAAGGAAAGAAAACTACACGAATAAAAGCAGATCTTGCAGATGTAAATCTCCTATCTATAATGTCTCTCTTTCTGTGATTCAATTCTTCCTATATCCTAGTCTCAGTAACAAACTAGTGTTGTCATTTGACAATTTTCCTTAGCAATTGACTGGTGTTGGTAATTCTATTTCCATTTTTTCTTTAACAGTTTACTCTATTTATTTTTCAGATTAGTTTTATAATTATGAAAATGTTATATAATTCACATTAATCAAAAGTTATATGGTAGAAAAGTCAGGTTGAAATGGAATTGGTCAACATGATTGTCAAGCTATCTCTTGACAAAGAGTCTATTACAATTAGACAATTATAACAATTATTGATAAATTTTAAGTTCTTTCAATTCTAATGTTGAGGTCAAAGTAAGATATTGTCACCTGAAGGCAGTAACAGGTTAACTCCTTATATAATCTGATAGGACTTAACCTGTTATTGCACTAAGATGGCAATATAATATGGCCTTAGATTTTTCCATTTTGGTCAGTCGATGATATTTTTATAGTTTACAATTAAATTTATCATTTTTGTTTTTCATTTGAATAAACAAAAGTACATTTGTAGTTTTATTGTTAAACTTTCAACATTACATTACAGCATCAGAGGAAGTTTTGATGTCCAATGTTCTTGAGGTCAGTCTGCCTCTTGATACATCTGAAATCCGATTACCCGTGCGTGAAGCCCGGTTAGACGAGGAGGAGCTATATTTAGAATATCTAGAGGTCAGCGAAGGGTCAGGCTATTTACCAGCTATGGACAGTAAGTTTTTTATGCCTCGCATAACAATCTCCCATGCTTTATTTACCATTTCCCCACACAATATATTGATAAATCAAGAATCTGCATCGTATTTGAGAAATCCTAAAAATAAAATCTTTGGCTTAAGATTTTCAATCATTATTTTCTTAACTGTATTTTTCATTTTGTCAGGGTAACTTAATTTTTCGTCTCAAAACTGAAGCAAAGCATTGTGCTTTATTGTCTTTTTCAAAAAGAAAAAAAAAAAAACAACACCAGAAAACAGACTTAACATAAGAAAAATGAATAAATAGTTAATTTAAAAGCCATGCTAATAATACAGATGATTGCCTTTGAACTCGGTGGTTTACTGACAATGTCACTGTTTGAATATACAATGTCTAAGATTTGTCACCACCCTCTCTAATGCACCTGTGTAACTATGTGTGTTTTAAATTTTCAAGCATGACAACCATTTATTGGTTTGCAGTCATTCTTGTTTCAATTTCTGAATTTTAAAATTCAATATTGTTTTATTTTTATGAAAAAAATAATGAGGAAATCTTTAATAAAATCAGACTTTTTAAATTCATTATGAAATATGGTACATACTTGTTTAGCCTCAAGGTCTTCAAAGTTGGAAGAATCACGACTCTCACGAATGTCACATGGTTCACGTGTATCCCGAGGGTCACAGGGTTCACGTTTATCTCGTGGATCACATGGATCCTCCAGTGGGCATCCAGCTTTACAACAAACTTCTTCATCCGACGAATCTCCTCGCCACGATCCTAAACCACGGGCTATACCGTCACCTAAACAGTCTCGTTCTGATAAAAGTCCCCTCCTACCAAAGGAGTCCCGCCCACCTCCTGTCATATATGACGCCTCAATTGGAGGTAATTGGTATAGAAGTGTCATCGTGACAAGAAAGTAACATGCTAATATAGCTTATAATCTCAAATCTACTAAATGTCTGACTTTTTTTACTTACCTGGATTTTATTTTTAATCTATAATTTTATACTAAGTCTTGTCTTTTAATAAGCTGAATGATATATACATGTATATAACATGGTTATAACGGCTTTCTTGTTAATACTAATTGGAGATGGTGGCAACTATTATAATTGCTAGTATAAACCACTGTGGATTCAAATGTATGGATTTTCTATTATGACGCCATGAAAAAAAGATATTATTTTAAAAATGGAATGAATACCCAGGACATAACTCAAAAATAGTGTCAAACAACTTTAAAATTGTTAAAATCAGGCAAATCATATATCAAACAGATTTGTCATATAATGGATACAGCACCATAATGCTGAAAATAGAATATTTCTTGTTGGCTATTGTACCATGGTGATAGTTTGATACAGATTTTTCTAATGTTATACATTATTAATGATGGCCATTGCTTGATACCTTTAAGTCATATTATCAGGGGAATTCCCATGGCTGTAATCTTATTATTACCTGTATAAGGAACAAGCTGGTAGACTATTCTCTACTAAATACCATGCAACATTAACTATTGGCAAACTTTTACACTTTGTATAAATAATTAATAGAGATTTCCGTTACCTTAGGCCAAATATGTTTTTTTTCTTTCTTTTTTTATGCATTTCTTATTTGTACTTATCTGTCTGCCCATCTTGCTGTTACATTCTTAAGGTCCATTGCCTTACAAAACTGTTAAATAGTAAAAATATAGGGACGTCAGTGATTTATAGATATATTTCTTTTTTTATAATTATTGAATAGTTATTTTAAAATTATTTTTATTTTCCTCTTTTTAATTATTTCAATGTTTTAAGAAATAATATATTTATATTTAACTAAAATTTTGCTACAACAGCTTTTCTTTTTTGTGTTATTTTCTTATTTTAGCATTTTTACTTTTATTTAAGATTTTACATTTTAATCAGATTTTAATACTACTGTGGCAGTTTGGTTTATATTGAATTAGATGTCTGTTGTTTATATGGTTATTGGAACAAATTATTTGAGCCGCGTCACGACAAAACCAACATAATGGGTTTGCGACCAGCATGGATCCAGACCAGCCTGCGCATCCGCGCAGTCTGATCAGGATCCATGCTGTTCGCTATCAGTTTCTCTACTTGTTATAGAGTTTGTAAGCCAACAGCATGGATCCTGATCATACTGCGCAGGCTGGTCTGGATCCATGCTGGTCGCAAACGCACTATGTTGGTTTTGTCATGACGCAGCTAAAATTATTTATTGAACAAGAATCTAACATTTATTTGTGTTTGGCCTTTTCCAAAGAGAATTGATTCTTGTATGTTTTTGTTTTTGATATACTTAGTAACTTAGGTTACCCACTTTTAAACAGAAGATGATTTAGAAGTTAGATGCTTTATTCTGTATTTTTATTGCTTCATCTTAGAATATTCTCACTTTTTAATGGACAGCAATTGCGTTATTTTCATTTTCTAAAAAAGGGGAAGTAATTCTGTCTGATACTGGATTATTTAACAGAGAAGTATAAATTATTTAGTTATCTGAACCAGTTTGTAATTCAGTGTAGGGTTAGTATTCTTTATAAAATGTAATACAGTAACAGTTTCTGAATATTATATTTAAATTGTCATTAGACTAAAGATTTAATTTACTATTTTTAATTTTGACTGAAACAGTCATAATTGTTTTACACTACATACAAAATGAATAAACAGTAAAATGACCACTTTTGCCTGGATCCATTTAATGTCAGTGACTAAATCTCTATCCCCTGAGAATTTTATAATTCCCTACAGGGACTGAAATCTTTGTAAACCATAGAGCTGACTTATGGAAGATCATAGATGAAATAAACTAGCTTCCAAATGACTTGAATTATGACTATAGGCACACCTTGCCCCTTTCTAAATCATTAAAATTTTGAGTTGTTGAAGCAGTAGTGGCCATTTTTGGCAAGAGATATCAGAAGTAATCCTGATTATATTAATATATTATAAACTGTCAGCTACTGATATATTTGTTGCAATAGTCAGTTATTTTATATGTCAATGCAGGGAAAAAGCTTAAATCTCTGTTCTTACTTATTCTTTTGTGACATATAATCTAGAAAAATAAGGAATAATAAACTGTTACATACCAGTATATTAATCTGATAAAAGTGTATAGACCACATTTCAAGCTTGACTTGATACTGATATTTTGTTGACTAAAATGTTAAAAAATCTGATTTTGAAAGTAGTTGTGTTATTGTTTTTGATAATAAGGATTTTATAAATGGCACATGAAAAATCCTCTTTTTCTGCATCAAGGAAGTAGTTCGTGCAGTGTTGGACTGGTTGCAGGTTTGGCAAACTTATAGATACATATAAAAGTGAAATTTATTAACCCAGTCTGCTTTTGTTTTATCTGCACAATGCACAAAGGATCTTGTGATTTTTCAGTTTATTACAATCATGTTTTATTTTTATTTTACAGATGAGCAGAGACAAAGGGCAGCCCCTGAGACATCAATTGAGGTGGAGGAAAATAGATACAGAGGTAAATATGTATTCTGTGATATTGTTATAAACTTAGTTTAAGAAATGTAATTATAAATGATAAGATAATTAGATATTTTAAGTGTAATAAGACTTACTTAAAGCTTCCAGCTTCCTGAATATGTGCTGAAATGACTGCAGTTTATGCCATGTATTTTGGAGAGAACTTGACAAGAACTTATGCTCAATTTTTCCCAAAAAATGTGTGGGAATTATTATTTTTCAATCCTTTTCTGATTTAAATAAAAACTTTTAATGGTACACACCACATTCCTTTATATATCCCCATACAATTGAGTCTATTCTAAAAGCTAGAAATATCTGTAAGTCAAAATAGTTGATATTATCAACTTATCCCGGAAATTTAGAATATACCCTAAAAAATTGTGAAAATTCTGTTATGACACTTGGATTATACAGTATAGATTTTGGATTATATTTAAGTATTTTAAGGGTTAAAAAAATACTGTACTGAATAATTGTGTATCTGAAATAGATAATTCTTTGATCTTATTTTATATTACACACTATTGTATAATGTAAATGTATATGTATTGTAAGCAATGGTTTACTAAATCATAATCTGGTAGCACCTTTGCTATAGTTTGAATTTGAAATAATATTATAAATAGAAAATAGATCTATAATAGTGAAAGTGTAGATGTTAGATTTAAGTACTAAAGGTGTAACATTGTAACATGATTTGAAATGTTTTTAAAGATTTTGAAAGGTTGTTTTTGATAACTGTTGGTGTTTTAAATTTCTGTGAGAAAAAAGTTGAAAAATTCAGAGGAAATCTATGGCTGTTGGGAGATATAACATTTGTTGATTTTCTTTGAGTATTATTATTACATGGACTATCTTATTGGAAGTGATACAATATGATAAAGTGTAAGTTGTAAAGACTTTGTTTTGAATTGTATAGTTAAATATGTTTATGACAATTTTATTTTAGACATATTTTCATTCATATATTTTGAATAATGCCATTTAGCACACGAAAAAATTAACACAAATTGTCAGTTATGTAATTTCCTTGTAGTCATCTCATTTTCTTACAGAATTTTCTTTATATATTTCAACATTTTTAATACAAAGGAATGATATGATACATTACAGATCTGATTTAATCAGATTCACTCTCCTACCTGAGTATTTTTAAATTGTCATATAAATGTTATATTTTAAATCAGTCTTGTGTATCTCCTTTAATTCATCTAGACCCGAAAACTTCAGCGAGCAATTTAGATAGAAAACAGTCTCTAGCTAATTCTTTCAAAACTGGAGGTCAAAAGTCAAGGTCATTTGAAGAAGGGAGCAATGATGGTAGTAGTTGTGGAGAAACAGATCGCAGATATTCAGTAGCGTCACGAATCTCGGCTCGCCGCAGTCATTCTGAATCTCCGACACCACAAAACAAAGATGGAAGGACAAAATTATCTATGTATGGTATAGCTCAAATCGCCAGATTACCAAAGAATAGATTACCAAAGAATCTAAACTTAAAGGAACAGAGCAGAAATAGAGCACTGACACTGAAAACTGTTGGTAACGTTGTTGTCAACTTTATACGACAAGAGAAGATTCTAAGAACTGCTATTGGATCTTTTGGTTTGAAACAGTCATTCAACTTTGATTTCAAAAGGTTTAAAAGTTATGTGAAAAGGACCCAAGCATTTTCCGCTAGTCTATCCAAAAATAGAGAAATTACTCTTAAAGCTCCTGATGCAGTAGCCAAGAAGAATAAAAACATGAAAAGTTTTGCATCTGCAGCCATTAACATGGCACAGGTTAAAAACTTAACAAAGAAGAAAGGTGGGTTTATAACTTCGGCTACACCAGAAGACCACAAAGAGATAGGTGATCCACCTTCTTCTAGACAAATGCACACACCCAATGATAATTTCCAAGATGGCCGACGTGGTTCTGGTTATCCCCCATCACGTTACAGTGAAGCTGAATGGGGCCAAAGATTCCCACAAGAGTATGTTCAGGGGCCTGGTCCTTTTAATAGGTACTCAGGGGGTAGAGGCTATCCTGGCCCAGGATTTGACCCAAGGGAGGAATATGAGTATTATCAAAGGAGGGACCATGGCTATGACACAATGAGGTCACACAATGACAGGAGCCATAGAGATGATTATAATAGAAGAGGTATGGACAGTAACAGAACCTGGAACTCTAGAGATAGAGGGTGGGGCTTAAATGAAAGGGGCAGGCCTAAATGCCCAAGAGGCAGGTCAGTTATGAATAACAAGACAGGAATGCTGCTATGTCAATCAATTAAGAGAGGAGTGATGAACATTCCCCTCATGGTAGAGGTACATTTTAGTTAGCTCCACCATTACAGACAGTATATGAAGAGGGGAGTTCTGAGAGTATTATCAGAAACAGATTTATAGCCTATTTATGGTGAACATGATCGGTATGCTTAGACCTGTTTGGTATAGCAGCTGCCGTGATGAGATCAGCAAGAGGGATTATGGGGTGTAGGTAAGAGAGGACCATGGATATTATAGTGGGCCTAGTGGACCACAGGAGAGCAAAGAAAGCAGGCACAGAGGTCAAGTTCAAGGGAGAAATGGAGAAGAAAGTGGTGACAAGCGAAGGGACAGTAGGCAGAAATCTGATCCAAGGAAAAGAAGTAAAAGTGATGATAGGAAAAAAAGAGGCCAAAACGCAAGTCCTAATGAAGGTAAACCTAAACAAAGGGAAAGGTCAAGGACACCTGAAGAATATAAATGGAAAAAAAGAAATATGGAAATGGAGCCATGTCCAGGACAAAGAAATAATTATATGAGACCTGCTAGAAGTTTTGACTATGATTATAATGATGAGTACAGAAAATTTCCAAATGCTAGAGAAGAAATGGCTAAAATGCATGCAGTTGCTGTCTATGCTGAAGCAATGGGAGGATTTAACGATGATAGAGGTTGGTGATTGGTGTTGTCTTGGATACAAAAGATCACTACATCACAAATTAGCATGGAACTACTTTTTTATCTGCATGAATATTCTCATGACATGTGTAAAATGTTTAATACATGCTGGGTATCACTGAATGATTATGTATGATTACTAATAAAAAGTTTAATTTCAGTTTTCATTTTATGTTGTTTTCTTTCAGCACTTTATTCTTTATGTTATTTAAAATAACTTTGTTTTGTTTCAGAAATGTTGATAATCATTCTAGGGGAAAATAGCTATTGATCATTATGTTATCAGTATAGTGATACATTTTCAGTTATAATCAACAGACCATTAATTGGACTTTTTTTTATCATTTTGTTATTACTGGTAAAAAAATTCTTACTAAAGACTTTTTCCCTTAGAATCATTTGTTAGCGATAGATATTGTAATAATTAATAATGATTTATGTATAACAAGCATGAAGTATGTTATATAACATATTATAAATAAGGACACTTGTTTATTTTTGTTGTTTTTAATCTGGTATCTTTTATTTGTATTATTTTTTTCACAGCACTAAAACCAAGGCGATTTAACTCTCGCAGGATTAACTTCATCGGATATCGTCATGGTACAAAAATGCACACCCTATATTATACTGGGTTGTTTCCCCTGTTTGTAAGGGACTTGGAATTTGACAGTCGTGTCGGTTCCAAGCTTCCTTTGATAGTTAGGTCATTGTATCAGATCTGTGCCAGAGAAAACAAAGGGAGATAACAAAATATTATTTAGAATTATTGTCACCGATATGAACATATATGCACATGTATATATTTTGATGTAATAGAAATTGGGGGTTTTGTAATAATAAGTCCGATTGGATATTTAAGAATTATTTTTCTTCTATTAAGTAGATACAATTATTTCTTCAGTTGACATATAAAAATTCACAAAAAACAAAAAAAAAAAAAACAATTGGGCATGGAAAGTAAAAACTTTTTTTTCTGTTTTTTCTGGCATCAGGTTTGATATGTTGAGTTTTGTCACCACAAACCTGAGCTAATATTAAAACTTATAACATGTTGTACATTTTCCCATAATTGTCAGTATTAATGTAGAACAGAATTAAATTGCCTCCAATTAACCTCTCCCACCCAGAATTATCCCCCCTGAAACCAGTGCATTCAATCTACCATATTAACTCACCTTTAAGACGGACCCCTTATAAGACCGGGGTCCTTATTTTGTCTCAAAAATGGAGCTTTTTGCTGAAACCTCTTATAAGACGAGTAAAAGGTTTTAAAGGAAAAATACTACTGCACCTTAGTTTCTAATTAGGTATTAGAAATTGCTACACCTTGTGATTAAAAAGATACGAAAAAATCGTAGAAAATGTAAAAAAGAATTGAAGAATTGTTTCAAGATTTTGACTGTTTCAAGATTGAAAATACCTATAACAAACATATTTATAGTTAATAAAAAGGTTGAATTATTCTGTTCTACATGTAATTCTCCTTTCCCTGTTGGAATTAATTATTGTCTGTGGTAGAAATGTAAAATATGATAAAAAGTTGTTAACCCCTTACCTAATGCTTGTGAAAAATAAAAGTACCCATGTGACCAGTGCAGATCAAGATCAGCTGTCTTATAATGGTCTGCACTGTTCTCTATTCAGTCAGTACTTATTTTTTGAAAATTTCTTTAAAAGTGATGAACAGTTTTATCCAGATTGAAAGAATAAGGGTTAATAAGTCTTATACAATGTACATACATATATATATTCTCCTGAATTCACTTTTGATGTTTGATATGATAGTCACTGTTCTCTCACTGTATTTTCACTGGTTTATACTATTATTCACATGTAATTATAGAACTATCTGCATGTGGTGATATACATAATTATATAGTACAGACAAACTTGTGTGCAAGACCATGAAAAATGCAATAAACACTGTCTAAACTGGCTAATTAGACCACAAAAAGTCAAAATTTTAACAGTCAATTTATCCAATATGAACAGTAGCATATATATTAGCCCTTATCCTGATGGGGGGCTACTGATTCTACCCGTTAGACCAGTGCAGACCAGCTTGCACATTTTGAACGGTTCATCAGACTCAATAGTTTTGAAGACAAATTTATAACTTTTCATAAAGATATCCCCAATGTGGATTGAACTAGAATTAAGACAGTATCTATAAAATGGTCTATATCAACAGCTTTGACTGTACTATATATCAAATGGCAGAAGGTGTTACATAATGGTCTTGATAAGTTATTATAATACATGTATATATCATTATATAATGTTGTGGTTTTAATGTTACCTTTCCAGTTAAAATCCTCCTAATTGAGTAAAATTATGAAATGAATTCAGCCCTTTTCGAACTATGTTGTGTGTCAGAAACTAAAACATAATGGAGTATAAAACATATCAGTAAGTTTCTGTTATATATAAAAGAAATAATATAACAGTCATTTCTGTACCTACTTGAGATTATTGTTCAAAACAAGATTTCATTAAATTAAGCAATGAATTTATGTTACTTAAGAAGTATTTAAATGTAAGTTTTAAAATTGGTATTTGGTAATAATAGTGCCGTCATTAGAAGCAAAGGTTCAAGCAGCTCTGTCACAGTATTAAACTCAAGCTGTTATAGTGCTGGATAGAATTAAAATAATACATGTATATGCCCTCATCTTAAATTTAAATGAAATGTTTTGTCACTGTTTTCTGTGTTTTCAATAAAGCTGTTTAACTGGAAAGGTCAGATCAACCTATTCAGCCTTTATCATTGTAAATATCATATTAGTATCAGTATAGATATACCTTTAATAAGTGTGTCCATTATAATGCTGATTTAACATTATCTTACTATTCTTTCATATTTCAAAGGCAACTATATTTAATTTACTCTGAAATCATCATTTATATTTATAAATATTATCAAATGTATATAATATGGGAACAATGATATATTAAATAGAAAAGAAATAGGATAAATATGAGAATATATTAGATATGGTTGCCATGGTTTCTGTAATTTCTACATAACTTCATTATTCTCGTGATGAATTTACAGGCCAACGTCAGATCCTCTCCTCTATTGAGGATGGTGAGTAACCTGTACCCCACCCACTAACACATTTACATAACATCTGCAGCAAACACTATTTTGCTTAAATTAGATTATTATGAATTTCTTAGAAGAATTTCAATATCCACCATTTAATACATTTTTATTATAAATACTAGTGAAATCGATATCAAGCAGTCCTGTTTTATAGTAAATTGATGTAGGAATAGTTATAAAAACACGAAGTAAAATTTTCTTCTTCACATAGTTAGAATTCATGAAAGGTCCTTTTAAAAATAAGTCTCAAAAGTGAATTTACCTGACTATGGGTAAACAATGCTAACCATGTTACATATTTTGTAGCTGTTTTATCATCACCCGTTATATTCATTATGCATAAAAATTGGGAAGTTATTCAAAACCCCATATTTCGCAGTCGCAGTAAATTTTAAAATTGCCTTTCTATAGAGAATAATCTATATCATTATCATGTAGATATAATTATTAGAACACATTTAAAGCTGCAGAAGTTTATTATATTTAACTAACACATTTTGTAGAACTTTTTATGTCTGTCTTGTAGGATTTTCTTGTATTTAAACATTTTTTTTAATCCAGCAGGGGAATGGTTTGTGTTTATTCAAATTTTGAAATTCAAATGATAAAACAATATATAAAATCATAACATTTGTCAAGCAGATGACATAATAAATCATATTTCATCAATTCGACAAAATATTATACAAGTTTGTTTTTTCGTCTTGATTTGAATTTTGTGATTATAGTTTAGTTAATGTATTTTGAGTTCTTTTGAATTAGGGTAGGATTTATATATGTTGCAGTTTATTTGTTATGTTTCTGTGGCATTTTCTTTGTATTTTTCTTTTTTTTAAACCTTTGACTTAAATCATTATGACTCTATAAAAATATCAAATTGCTTAAATTATTTTGATTCTAGAGAAATTTCTTTTACTTCCCTTTTAATCAATTAAATAACCAAAACCAAGTTAATTCAGTTACAAATCCTTAATTATTTTTTTTTGATTTTTTTAGATTTTTTTTATTACTGTTTATTTGCGCATTATAGTCAGTTAGATATAGTAAATTTTAAGTTTAATTTTTTTTTTTAAAAGAAAGATTTATTTTGTTTTTCCTTATTTTTATTGTTTTATATTTTTTTTTTTTTTTTTATTTATTTTTTATGTAATATTTTGATAGATGTTGATTTTTTTTTTTTTTCAAAAAAAATTTCTACTTTTATATTTTAATTTCATAACATTACGATTAGAGTTAAATTTTTAGTTTTCTATTTTTCCTTGTATTTTTGTTTTTGTTTTACCAATAATTTATAACCTATAACCCAATCCAGTTTTGTTCTTCAAAGCCCAAGATGTAATATTGCATGATATAGTATATTTTCAAAGATTATAATATTATATATAACTTGTATGGATAAGGTATGTGAAAAATCAGTTGAATAGTTTGATGTAAATTCTGTTATTATTTCTGTTATTTTCAGACCAGAGTGTTATGACCGATGACAATGAGAAATCTACACAAACCTCTTCACAGACGGCCAACAAATATAAACCAGTACTTAACCACGATTTCATTCCACCCAGTCTTCAGGACAAAGGTGTTACACCTCGAGGCAAGAGACGTCTGCCTCCATCTGAAAGTGAGTCAGAAACTGAGACCGAAACTGAAACAGAAACTGAAACAGAGACTGAGTCTGAAACAGAAACTGATCATCCTAGCAGCATGGTTGTCATGGATGCACAGAGACCACAGGCTCATACTGCTCATAGAAAGAAGGAGAAGACACCAAGGACGCCAAAAACTCCAAAGTCTCAAAGAGAGTTTGAGACTCCAAGACAAAGGGGCGTGAGTATCATCAGAGATGGGCGTGGCTATGTTGAAGTAGAGGATGATGGGTCATCAACATCTGAACCAGAAAGGTCATATACTCATCCGCAGACGACAAGTTTTGAGAAACCACGGAAACACAGGAAGAACATGGCAATTATTGAGGTGCAAGATGCAGTTGAGCTGGATGCTAGGAGGAATGAGGAGTCAATGGAGGAAGAACGTCAAGTGGCAGTGCCAGCAGGTACAAAAGAAAGCATGAGACAGATTGATGAAGGGCAGGTAAGTGAAATAAAAAAGATTCTTTGTAATTCAGTTCAAAAATACATTTGCATTGATGAACTTGGTCTTTTCTTAGATATTTATGTCCTTTTTTTCAACATAGATTTTTATTCGTTTGAGTCTTCTTCCTGGAATATTTTGTCTAATGTTGTATGGCTGTGACTAAGGAAGGGCTAAGAATTCACATTTCTATTGCATTTTTTTTAGTTCATCAGAAGTGATGGTGAAGGAATTCTTCCAGCTCCTTCCATCATGGTAGAAAGTCATGGTAAAAATGGTGTCAGTGTCAACTGGCAGTTACCAAAGCAACTAGATCCTGAGTACCGTCTGCTTCTCTATGTTGTAAATGTGGTTGGTACCCGGTTCCAAGGAGGAATTAATAGTGATATCAGGTAAGAATGATAATTACAGTTTTCTGAAAACATTTTTACTTTTGATATGTCAGTCAAACTGCCAGGGGCAAGCCGTTGTTTCCTTGAGCCAGAAACTTTACACTCATTGCTACGTACTGGTTGGTTCCAGGAACAGATTTGAGAGTGTTTCAATAAACTTATAGCCTCCAACTCATGCGAACTAAAATTAATTAGTATAAACTAAACCTTTTATGTTGAGGAATGATAAAAAAGACAACAGTTGTAGGAAAAACTGTCAAAAATTGCAAACTAGTATTTACAATTATAAACAATTTAAACATTGTCAGCACAAAATTTATCTGAATTAAGAGACCATTATCTCAGCTTGGCTCCCAAAAAAAGACAATATTTTCTGAATCTTAGAACTGGCCCACAAAATACAGATTTGACTGTATTTTATTTTCTTGACTTACTTGACATGCAGAAAGCATGATAGCCTATTTAAAAGTGATGATTGACCTTGCCAAAAATCAAGTATAGGATATCAGTACCTTCAATTAAATACCTGTATGTTTTAAGTGATAAGCATGTATAAGAGGAGATAGTGTCCTTGTCAATAAACATTAAGTCAAGATATGAAATTCAATAAAAAAAAAATATACTTAAGCGGTTGTATGTATTGATTCTTCAGTAAAGATATATCGTTATATTTTGATTTTAGATATTGTAATGCCACTTTTAAGTATGTTATCAAATATCAGTATGTAACTAATTTGAGTATTATTTATTACAGTTTTGAATGTAACTTGGTCGAGAAGGGGAAACAGGTACGAGGGGTTCAACACTGCTGGAATATACAAGAGAAGTCTCGGTGCACCGTGAATGGTCTGGTACCAGGACTTACGTACAGACTGTATGTGATAGCTAACTATACCATGCTTCACGGGCACCAGCCCTGCGAGATACAGACTACATCTTCTGTGATATATTATACGACAGTCGGGCCGCCACGTCCACCAAGGTTCAGGGTCGTCAGTGTTGATATGCATCAGGTATCGTATATCAGTCTGATTGTCAGTCATTTAATATAGAAATATGTCTTTGTTTGCTTACACAAGTCAAAAATAATTTTAATGATAAAAAATGTTAATTCACAAACTGCGTGAGATGACTTATGCCATATGTTTAATAAATACATTAATATATTATAATAAATTCTGACCGGTTATAGTTAATACATTCAAGAATCTGAAAATTGTGAAGATAATATTCCTATTAGTGAATTGTCAATTTTTAAATGTAGAAATATGTCTTTGTTTCCAAAAACACAAGTCAACAATAATTTTATGATGAAAACGTTAATTCAGAAATGGCATGAATTACTTATCCCATACATTTTCAATAATATATAATATTAAATTCTGACAGGCTATAGTTAATTCATTCAAGAATCTGAAAATTGTGAAGGTAATATTCCTATCAGTGAAGTTAGCTCTCTTATAATACAATGACGATTTTCATTAATTTACAGGCATTGTTGGAGTGGGAACCACCCAGGATGCACGAGGAGCTCCAACTAAAGGGGTACCAGATATATGTTGATAACAAACCTCTCGGCAACATTCGTAACAAAGACACTCGTCAAATGATGATTAACAACATGGTTCCCGGCAAGACATTAAGTGTTTATGTTGTGGCTGTAACTAAACAGGCTACACAGGAGAGTGAACCATCGAGGGTTCTACACATCACGTGTCCACGACGACCACCAGATATAGTTGTTGCCCAGCAACCGTCATACAGACAGGGCACTGTACTTATATCATGGGAGAGACCTAAAGGCCACACATATGCCACAAATGAGGAGGATATATCCATATATGGGTATGTGCACTGTTTTAATTGTTTGTTGTAAGAACATTTTATTATCTGGCTACATGATCTTGTGAAAATCCTCGTGGTCGAGGGGTTAGAGTCGATGACTTCTAATCCAGTTACCTCTCTGGCGTGGGTTCGATCCCCGGGAGATGCTTTGGTAGTTTAGCGCGGAGGAAGGTAGTCTAGTACTGTTGTAACTCTCCAGGAAAGATGGTTAGGAAACTACACGCCTATATGACTGAAATACTGTTGGGAAAAGGCGTAAAATGAAACAAACAAACAAAACTTGTGAAAATTGGTTATATTCTTCCACTGTTCAAATCAAGCTTGATAAGGAGTCATGTTGGTGTTGCAAAACATTACTGTCAAGTCACAATTTTGATAAGAGAATGTGACCAAGCTGGCCAAACATGTAATCATTAATTCAATGCTTATAAATGATTTAATCAGAGCATTAGTAAAGGAATTGTGAAGAATTTTGTTTAAATTTCAACTAAGAAATTTAAAGTGTTTAACAATTTATATTATTTCAGAAATGACCAAACAATGTATAAGAAATTTCAATATTTTTCTTGCAGTGTTTATGTTGATGGAAAATGGTACGGTGAAGTGAAGTCTAACAAGCTGGGAAACAAACATGGCTACCAGTATATACTGAACGATCTTAACCCTGAACAGAGCTACGATATCAGTGTCAAGGCTATCTCAGGTTATAAACGTATTGATCCGGATGCCCAGCATATCTTCTGTCTTAGTGAAGGACCAATGTCCAATGTCATCAATGTGATGGCCCCGGCAGCCCCTAAATCACCCAAGTTGAGACTTGAAGGTTTGACCCCCGAGGGTATTGATGTCACATGGCTGGTTCCACAACAGCACGGAGAGGCAGCTATTTCGGTAGGTACCAGCACATCATAACCTTAACTGTAAAAGCAGATATTTTAGTGAGGCCAAATTTCACAGTCAGCATTTGGGACTTATTGGCAGGATTAACTATCAGAAAATTTCTAATTTTAGTTCATTCTATGTTTTAGGTTCATATTTGGCAAACATATATTTCTGTGAAAATCTTTAATCTGTGAAATTAGAAAAATTTATTATCTTGAAAACATTTTACTTTAATCCTTTATTGAAAATGACACGATCAAAATATATTTGGTTTGTTTCTTTTATAGGGATATCAAATGTTAAAGAACGGTCGTCTATATGGGTCAATCATCCCGCCAGAAGTTAACAGTCTACGTATACGCGATGTGTCGCTCGGGGAAAAAGTGGCGCTCCAACTGATTGCTCTGACAGAACATCCCGTCGGCAAGATTGATAAACGTACAGAGCTGATGGAGAAGGAGAATACTGAGGAGGCGGGAGCTGGTAAGTTGTGACGGATTATTTTATATTGTGTCGTTATGCTTTTTATAAACATGTATATTGTAAGGATGGTGGTCAAAGAGGCTGATGAACAGGGAATGGGGATAAAAATATAATAAAGTAAATTTCCTTTTTAAGAATACTGAGATGAAAAGAAATAACATAAAAACATATTTTGAAAATATGTTACTTTTATTAAGTGGCATTATGATTTTTGTTGGGTGCCTGTATAAATTACAGAGAAAAGATAAAGTGGGTATATTTGCCTCTGTAATGTATCACCTATAAGAGGTGGGGGCAGAAGTTGGGGGGGGGGTCGTGGAAATTGTCTCTATTTTTGCGTATTTACTTCATGTAAAGCTCAGCTAGATGAGGACAGTTTTATTCAGATAACTTCTGAAATACACTACACTTAACTTACCTGAGTACTCCAAGTAAAAAAGGTTTATGAAAAATTATTTGTCAAATAGAGTTAAAATTATTAAAAAAATATGACGGTATAAACTTTAATTATATGGTTGACTATGCATCAAAATCATTCAAGTATTTGACAAATTTAGCCAATGCACATTTCCAGTAGTGATTGGACATACATGTACATTTTGGAAGATTGATAATTTTTTCCTTAAGTTTGAAATTGGAGTACTTTCAAGTTTTAAGTATAATTATGTTACTAATATATTTTTATGAAAATATTTATGTTCCACAAATACTTTACTTTATATTTATAGTTATTAATTTTCTGTGCTGTATTCATAACCTAGTATAACCTTGTTTCACACTTGTATGTGAATATTCCATTTAGTTTGATATAACAAAGTTATTTACTATTCTATTACAATAACCATATTGTACTAATCCTTTTATATAGCACATTTTCTATTCAATTAAACATGTAACTTGTAAAAAGTGTATAAAGCTATATTTAGTAAAAAGAAATTGCAAAGTTTTTAAACAAGAATGTTGTTTCAATTATTTTATTGTGGATTCCCAAAAGACATTGTAACATTGAATGTTTCTGTTAATTAACACACATGAATATTGTGTGTAAACAGAAAAAAAAATGTTCAGAAACAAAATGTTATTCTGATTTTTCAAGTTTTTAACTTTCATACAAGTATTTTTTAGAAGTATTCTTTTTCAAAATTCAAATATTAATTTTCACTGTAAGATAATTTACATGTACATAGCTTTATACACTTTAATAGGAGCACTTTTTATAGTGTTGGTTGAAAATTGAAGAACAAGTAGAAATACAGGAGTAAATGTTTGTATAGTTGAACATAATTCCTGAGAGAGAAAAATGTTTTCCTTTAAACACACTTATAGAAAAACAAAAGTTGATTTTGTTCACTGATGATGTACAAATGACCAGAAAACGTGATGCTAATGTTCAAACTGGTGACACAAATGAGAAGAAAATTGAAACTGACTATGCAGGTGACAACAGTTTACAACCAGCCTTTTGATTGGCTAGAACAAGAAGCAGTCTGATTGGCTTAATTGTGATTGATAAAAATAGAAACTTTCTGATTGGCTAGAAATTAGACCAATTCCTTTGCTTAACAAATACAGTCAAACATGGGAATCAAAGACAATTTTTAGAATGGGAAAAGTAACTGTTCTTGTCAAAACATGTATTTTTACATATTGAAATAAATAAGATAGTGTAATGTTTGACTTTAGTTACAGTTTAATTTAATACCTGATTTTTACAGGGGTAGCTGTAACACATGATTGACTGTATTTCTGTTCAGAGTAAATTAATTATTGGCGATTGCCATATAATATTGTAATATCAATATTATAGGACTTATATTACCAACGTAACAAAGAGATATCATAGTACTAGCTTAATTTTAAATCTCTGACAAATAGATATACTGTTATTTGTTTTGCAATAAATAGGTTAGGATACTGCATTATATAATTATTAATTATGAGAAATGTTGCTTATTTTGTTTAAAGTTTTAATTGAGATGAAAAATATTTATCAGAATTTTATAGAGTGAGGGTTATTTATGTTACTATTGTATTTCCTTGACATCTAATTGGCAGTTTTTTGTATTATATCATTCTTATTGGCTAGAATAGTTTTGCTTACCAGAATATTTCTTTCTGCTTCAAAATATTTGTAATATGCTGCATGCATGATTTAAATGTATACAATAGTTTTTTAATTGCTTTGATTTTCTATTCAATAGCAATGTTTAATAAATGATAATTATGTCAATAAAAGTTGTTATTGCAAGAGAATCTTGGACATAATTTAATTGGACAAGCAACTGAAAATAGTACAGCATTTTCTTTTTTGTCCAATCAGGTCCACACTATGGCATTTTACAATGTTCAGTTATATTGAAAGCATATCTTTTTTTGTTCATGGTAAATGGCATATAAATAAAAGAAACAATGAACCAACTGTAAGATACTAAATATTCTTTTGTATCTGAATGGTTTGAACATGATGTGTTGACTTTGTGTTGGGAGCTTTAAGCTTATTGATACATCATCTCAGATCTGAGTTCCTGGAGCCAACAAGTACTAAGCAATGAGTGTAAAGCTTCTTGCTCAAGCAAACAACGTACAGCTTGGCACTGAAAAAGGTTTGCACCCATGCGGTCAGCAATCCGTAGATTACTGAGTCCGACATGTTAACCACTTGTTCATGCCCCTTCTTGATGGTTATTGATCTTCAGCTGCTTTTCTTGTCAGTAGTTGCTCGTCCTGTTATAGTATGTCGCAGAGACAATTCATCCTTGGAGAAAAAGCTTCTTTTTGCTTCATCACTATTATACAAACATAAAACCCATTGATGATCTCATTGCCTGTTAAACAAGAGAATTTCTAATGCTGTCATTTCTTTATATGAGCCTTAACTTGTAATGTTGGTCCTTGTTATCTAAAGAATTAGTTAACTTTGCAGAATTATTTTGTTAAATCATTAAAAAAAAATTAATAATCCTACTGTTGGTAATAGCAAAATTTTGATTAGTTAATTAACAGCCATATCTCGAAACATGATATTAACATTAAAACTATAATGCCATTTTATCATTTCATTTGCTGACATCATTCCTAGAATCTTTGTACAAGTAGGAAACTAATGACATGCAGTTTGTAAACATGAAAACTTAAAAACCATTTGAATGAAAGGCATTTATTTTTCATTAAATTAAAAAAAAATCACAGAAACATCATGACAAAGGTTGTATTTATCATTTAAGTTTTTTTTTAAGTTTAGAATTTTTATATAAATAACGTTTCTTGATGTTTTCAGATGTTTTCGTTGGTGACAGATATGCTGGGTGCCGTCCTGGTGCCAAACTTGTTGTCCACTACACTGGACTAGTATGCCCACCATCTCAGGTCTGGTGTGAGCGTGTAACCGGACATTCCGCTCTGGTTGTCTGGAACAGAGGTAAATTTTTAACATTTCAAAATTTATTAACAACTAAGTTATCTGCAACATTTGATTAATGAGTTTTTATGTTAAAATATTTGAAATAAGAACATCATAACTATTGACATTTTGTATTTCTTCATTTTCCTCTGATTTTGAACTATTTATCAAGTTCAGACTTCAGGATGATTCAGGTAGACCATCTTATTTCATACAAGGGGTTATATTGTTAGAGATCAATGGATTTCAGAGTCATGATTCTAAACATAAAGAGCATATTTTGGTCTTATGATCAAGCAGTTGGGTTCACACTGGTTTAAAATCATAGTTTGATGCTACTTCAAGTATGATGACACAAGATCATGAGATTTTTAGTGAAAATATACATGTATTATATAGTCACTGTTTCATTTAATGAGCCACTAGTAAAGTACACTAAGCTATTTCTTAAAGTGCATTATCTACCCTACCAGTGTTTTAGTTTCTTTCAAGAGAAGAAGTTGTAAGTGATAAGTGGTGAACAGGTTATCATCATATAAAACATGTACCAAAACATGTACCAGTACTTGTATTGTAGAAAAAATAAGGATCTGACAAAATCCCATAAAAAACTTTGATGTCTCCACTTTTTGGAGAGGGGTATCATAATGGATTTGTTGGTCTGTTGCAATGTCCTGCTGTAATGCTGTCTGTAAGTTGACTAATAGAACAGTGGAGTGGAGTGTGGAGGGTCCTGTGAGTGTGGGGGCATCTGTGACTGTAGGGGCATCTGTAAGTGTGGGGGCATCTGTAGTGTGGGGGCATCTGTGAGTATGAATTCATCTGTGAGTGTGGGGGACATACGTTGAGTGTGGAGGAGTTTTGGGGCATCCATGAACATTGGGCATCCATCTGTGAGTGTGTGGGCATCTGTAAGTGTGAGGGCAAATGTGAGTGTAGGGGCATCCGTAAGTGTGTGGGGCATCCATGAGTGTGTCGGGGCATCCATGAGTGTGGGGGCATCCATGAGTGTGTGGGGCATCCATGAGTGTGGGGACATCCATGAGTGTGTGGGGCATCCATGAGTGTGGGGGCATCCATGAGTGTGTGGGGCATCCATGAGTGTGGGGGCATCCATGAGTGTGTGGGGCATCCATGAGTGCGGGGCATCCATGAGTGCGGGGGCATCCATGAGTGTGGGGGTGTCTTTGAGTGTGTGGGCATCCGTGAATGTGGTGGCATCAGACTGTTATATAGAAACATTTCTTGTTTGCCTTGTAAAGTGAAATCATGTATAAAGAATTCTGTCTGTATTTTCACTTGGATAAAATTAAAAGTGAGTTTAGCAAAAAAGAGCTTTGAAAAGGGAATTATTTTTTTTAATTTTCACAATTTGATAGACTTGAAAGTTTATCAAATGTAAACATGGGATTATACTGTTTATTGTATTGTGATTCAATGAAATTGCCTGAATATATTGATTGTGTAAAGTACAATATATGCATTTTCAAACATTTATTTTCTTGATGAAAGAAATCTATATTGTAAAGTGTATTGTTCAAAATTTAAAAGGATTTGGTCTTTTTCTTGTTCTCAAAAGTGTATAGAAGTATATAGAAAAGTGTAAGATTAATAGGTAACGGTAATAGTATGTCAGGTTTCTTTTTAACATTATAATTACTATATGTTTTCTATAGAGGGTGTGTCTTTAATGAATATATTTGTTATAAAAAATTAATATTTTCTATGTAAGTAAGAAATACATTTAATTGTTTTACATTTTAAATAACTGGTTAAATGTAAAAATTCTTTATTTTTCTTTTTTTACTGTGGGAAGTCTTAAACATTGTCAGTAGATAAGGAATACAAAAAAATACAATTTGAATAAATGTACCTTACCTACTGATCACACATGAAGAAATAACTTAAAACCTGTGCTATGTTGTAAGCCTTAAATTTGTAGAAAGTAAATATGGTGAAACAAATTGTCGAAATATTTAATAAAAAACTAAACAGTGATTTTATTTTGTCACCTGTATGATACACCTATATGCAGTGAGACTTAGTCCCGTAAACATTTTCAGTGTTTGACCATGAGCCTGGTTGAACTGAAAAGTGACTTCAAACCATTTGCCCCTCATCCCATGTGGGTTTGAATCCCAACAGGGATTTTGGATTCTTTCATTTGAGGAAGTTTATTATAAATAGAGCTAGCTCACGTACAAAACATTGGTAGTTCTACTCAGGTGCCTGAAATAATGCATGGAATTGCCCCGGAGGTCTTCCTCTACCAATAACGCTTGAAAGGCGCCATTATATGACCCTATACTATGTTGGTGCAACGTCAAACCCAACCTAAAATAAAATCAGAACCTGCAGTGGTCTTGTAAGGCTTTAGTTAATCTTATTTTAAACCAGGTTAGACTGAATATGGATTTAACTGTACAAGTCTTTATAGACTTAAGGAAAATGTACTCCCCACCCTTCACCTAGCTGGCAGACACTGATTCTATTCCTGCACATCCATGTTGTCTGATTTATGATGGTCTGCATTCTTCCTATTTCAGTCAGTACTTAATGTAAGAATTATAGTTCTTAATTGTAAATTTATTTATTATAATCACATAATTTCATAGTTTGAATTTTTCAATAGTATTTACTATTAAAGACATTGTTTGTTTCTTTCAATTTAAGATAGCTTCACTATTTCCGCCAAACGTAACGTCTTATTTGTTTCCCGTAAAAAGACGTCATTAAATTGTTTTACGGTGACGTCATTAACCGTTACTTTGATTTGTTGTTTTGCCTTGGGCAGAAGTGCTTAAAATTGTTGATGTATTTTGTTTATTGATGTTTTCCAATGGAAAGTAGATCATAATCGGTAAGCAAGTTATTAATTATGTATGAATTTTAATAGTAAATTCAATATTGTTTAAATGATGATGAACTTTACAATATTTGCCGTGAATTAAATTATAAACGGAATTATTTGCGGAAATATAAAATAACATTATTATTTGCATAGATTTAAGTCTATAATTGTTTTAAGGTAATATCGTATATTTATGATTTGTATTAACATTATTATTTTAGACAATTTATTGTATTTTATTTTAAATGCGTTGTAATCAGTATTTAGTTTGTTTATTTATTAATTTCAGAGAATCGCATTGTTGTATCACATTGATATATTATTCCATGAATGAGAATAAAGAAAAGTGTTGAAATCTGCGCATTCTTGACTATTTTTAAAGGAAAACATCTACACTTAATTTGAAATAATCCCTAAAAACAATTAATGGTTTTGTCCAAATTTTACAGATGGACAAGTCCATTTAAATTATTTAGCTTGGTTAGGGTAAATAAAAGAAAATGTTAGAATATAACATCAATGAAAGATAATTCAATCTAGATGTGTGCAATTATTTTCCAATTTTAAAGATAAATTAGGTAATAGTTTAGAATTTTAATGTTTACAGAATAAATTTATCACTTAACACTTGGTGTAAAGTTGAAATATTGACAGTGATTTTGAAAGGATCAATACATACATGTGATTTATACTGTCAATTTTAACATGCTAAATTGAATTCTAAGTGTATTTTAGTTATGATAAAAATGACAAATGATGGGGTTGTCTGTATCAAGATAAAACAAGTGCTTTCTTGATTTAAATGATATACTGAATGCATATCAGATTTTGATGATTAAAAAAAAAAAAAAAATCCGTGCAAAGAACATGCAGAGGAAGTAGCAAAGTATCACCTTCTTGTATTTCACTATGACAAGAGTTACTTCCCTTGAATTTTTTGGAAAATTGTTTGCAAATATTGTTTCAGGGAAATGTGTAATTAGAAAGGAAATATTTCCCTACCTTGAATTATGCATTGTTATTGAACTGCAACAGTTTTATTATTATCAACCCTCTTAGCACAATAGGGAGAGCATTGGATCAGTTATCTGTAGGTATATATAAGCTGGTATGATCCTCGGATGAGGCGTAATTTCTCCATTACAATTCATCTCTGATATTGGGTCTAATTGTCATTTCTGTTTCCTTACTGATTTAGAAATCATGACTTGTGAGATTAATAGTCAGTCACTTGCCAGGAAATTGATGATTACTGGTTACTTGTCCATCTTTCAATCTGGACAAAACAATTTATCATTTTTAGGAAAATTGTTCAAAATATATGTCTTGACTGAACAGCAAACAGTGCAGACCAAGAACAGATAAGATGTACCTGCTGACCTTGGTCTTCACCAGTTGCTTGGGCAGATTTAGTCTCTGCCAGCTAGTCGGCTAACTTAGGTTAATATGAAATATACTAGTATACATTGTACTACAATATAGATGTAATATCTCATTAGATTTTAATGGATAAAATCTTAATATTTTGAATCTTTCACAATATATTTTTAAAAGAAATAATGTTTTTTTTCAAGTTTTCTCCTTTTGAGTTTTTTTTTAATAGCTCAGTTTGGAATGATAAAAGAAGAAGAAAGTCAGTTGATGACCCTTTTAAATGTAAGAATGGTTTAGAAAGTGCCCATACTTTATATGTCAAAGAAATAGAATAGCTGCGATACCTGGGAAAATGATTAAACAGGTTTACTTGTTTATAGTGAAATCAATAAATTGACTGAAGGTATATAGTTTATATATATAATACAGTCTGACACTATTGTTTTCTGTGAGATTCAGATTTCTACAGTGTCGTGATGTCAAACTTTCATTAAAATATAAATTTGATATTGAAAAATTGAACAGCGATTTCTCATCGATACATAGCTTGCGTAACAGATTGAATTATAATCGTGTTGACAGGGGATAAATAAATGTTTTAAACGAATGAAGCAAGTTTACAGGAAACATCAATGCTTTAAAATGTATTTAGGAGGCATATAAATTTTAAATAAATTGGATTTAAATACATATCGTAAGGTAGCTTTCTTCAGTTTATTAGAATAGGATTTTTTTTATTTCATGAACATGTGATTTTATTGGAATAGGTAACATTCCTTGTTTTACATGTGTG